GTTTGTCTTTCTGGAGTGAAGTCATTTGAGTTCTTTTTATATTTTGGAGATCAAACCCTTGTCAGAGGTGTCATTTGCAAATATATTTTCCATACAGTTGGTTCTCTTTTCATTTTGCTGATGTTTTCTTTAGCCATGCACAAGCTTTTATATTTTGATGAAGTCCCATTTGTTTATTCTTTCCTTTATGTCCCTTGCTCTAGGGGATGTATTGGTGAAAAATATTGCTGCATGGAATATCTAAGATTTTCCTGCCTATTTTCTCCTGTAGGACTTTTATGGTGTCACAACTTATATTTAAATCTTTTATCCATGTTGAGTTTATTTTGGTGTATGGTATAAGTTGGTAGTCGAGTTTCACTTTTTTGCATGTAGCTGTTCAGATGTCCCAACACCATGTATTGAAGAGGCTATTTTTACTCAGTTCTATGCTTCTGCCCACTTTGTTGAATATTAATTGACCATAGAGACATAGGTTTATTTCTAGGCTCTCTATTCTGTTCCATTGGTCTATTTTTCTGTTCTTATGCCAGTACCAAACTGTTTTGATTACAGTGGCCTTGTAATATTTGATATTAGTAATATTTGATAATATTTTGTATTATAATACTTGCAATATTTGATAATAGTTTGATATTAGGTATTGTGATCCCTCCTACTTTGTTCTTCTTTCTCAAAGTTGCTGCAGCTTTTTGGGGTCATTTATGGTTCCATATAAATTTTTGAAATGTTTATTCTATATCTGTGAAATATGTCATTGGTATTTTAATAGAGATTGCTTTGAATCTGTATATTGCTTTGGGTAGTATGGACATTTTGATGATGTTAATTCTTCCAATCCATGAACAGGGTATATGCTTCCATTTATTTGTGTCTTCCTTAATTTCTTTCTTCAGTGTTGTGGTTTTCTGAGTACAAGTCTTTTACTTCCTTGGTAATGTTTATTCCTAGTACTTTATTTTTGTTGTTGCTATAGTAAATGGGATTTTTTTTCCCAATTTCTGATTTTGATATTTCATTGTTGGTGAATAAAAATGTCTTCGATTTCTGAATATTGACTTTGTATCCTGCTGTTTGGAGAATCCAGATATAAACCCATGTATCCATGGTCAACTGATTTTCATTAAGGATGCTAGGACTATTAAATGGGGAAAAGAATAGTCTGCTCAATAAATGGTGCTTGGATATCCACATGAAAAGTAATCATTTTGGAATACTACCTCACATACTATGCAAAAATTAACTCAAAACGTGTCAAAGACCTAAATACAAGAGCTAAAACTATAAAATTCTTAGAAAGCACATGGAAATCTTTGTGATCTTGGATTAGGAAATAGTCTCTGAGATACAATACCAGTATCTAAAGTAACCAAAGAAAATAATAAATTAGTTTCCATCATAATTTAAAACTGTTAAACACCAAAGACGCTCTCAAGAAAGTGAAAAGACAATCTAAGAGTGGGAGAAAATACTTGCACATCATAATCTGATGAGGATCTAGTATCCAGAATAGAGAAAGAATTCTTATAATTCAACAATAAAGATAAATAATCTAAATTAAAACCAAATATAGGATTTGAACAGATATTTTCCCAAAGAAGAAATACAAATGCCAATAAGGACATGAAAAGATGCTGAATATCATTAGATATTAGGGAAATGCAAATTAAAACCACAATGAGATACCACTTCACACTGGTCAGAATGGCCATCATAAACAAAACAAAAAACAAGTGTTGGAGAGGTTGGAGAGAGAAGGGAACCCTAGTGCACTGTTGGTGGGATTGCAGACTGGTACAACCACTATGGAAAACAGTATGGAATTTCCTCAGAAAACTAAAAATGGATCTGCCTTTTGACCCACTGATTCCACTGCTAGGATTATATCCTAAGAACACAGAAACACCAATCCAAAAGAACCTATGCACCCCAATGTTCATAGCAGCACAATTTACAATAGCCAAGTACTGGAAGCAACCTAGGTGCCCATCAGTAAATGAATGGATCAAAAAACTATGGTGCACTTACACAATGGAATTCTATGCAGCAGAAAGAAAGAAGGAACTCCTCCCCTTTGCAACAGCATGGATGGAACTGGAGAGCATTACGCTAAGCAAAATAAGCCAGGCGGTAAAAGACAAATAGCATATGATCTCACCTTGAACAGGAACCTAAACAACAAAACAAAGAAACAAGCAAAATATAACCAAAGACACTGAAATAGAGAACGGGCTGACAGTGACCAGAGGGGAGAGGGGAGGGAATTTCAGGGGAATTTCAGGGTAAAAGGGGAAGGGTTTACAGGAACAAGTATAAAGGACACAAGGACAAAAACTGGGGAGAGGATGGAAATGGGAGGGAGGTGGGGTGGCCTGTGTGGGTGGGCTGGGATGGGAGTAAAAGAAAACTGTACTTGAACAACAATTAAAATAAAATTAAAAAAAGAAATAAGTCTTCGCTATTTCAAGATTCTGGGGTTGTTACCATTGTATAACTTCAATATCCTAGTGAGGTTATTATACTGGAGAGAATGACTGATTAGGTATCTAAAATAATATCAGATAGATATATATAAAAACTGAATAATTCAGTACAGATTTCATCTGACCGAAAACATATATACCAATAAGCAATACATTTTTGAGGAAGAATAACAAGGTGATATTTACACTATTGGATAAATAAAAGAACAAAGCAGCACTTACTGAACATGTACCATGTAAGTCTCAGCTACTGTTCTAAGTGTTTTACACAGCTTATTTCATTTAATCTTCCCAATATCCCCACGGAATAGGCACCATCATTATACCTGTTTTATAGATGGGAAAAGGAAGCATGGATTTGGGTAGTTTTGTTCCAGGTCCATGCTAAAAGCTGCTTTGTTACCCTGTCTCTCTAGAATACTGCTTCTCAAAGCATTTGTTATTGAAGGACCAGTTGTTTTCTTTACTTTAATTTCTGATCTTCAGAAACCAATATTTTTGTAAAATATCATTAAAATGAGTTTCTAGTAAAATGAAATAAAAATCATACAAAATACAAGCCTCAATTTTTATTAAATTTGACAGATACAAGATTACTTTTCAAATTCCTTTCAATTTCTAAATACCTATTCACAACTCCTACACTTTCTCATTGTGAATAAATAATTTGTGGACTGGCTCTAGACCAAAAACCAAATTTTGAGTGGCTCTGCTCTAGATTTCAAAAACAGATTGTGCATAGATATATAGAAACATACATATAAAAATTTGGTACATGAGAAAGATGGCTTGTGGATGGGTGGGAGAAGACTGTTCCAATGGCCTATGACCCTACAATCTGGTGACTATAATTGTGGGACATATCCAGGCACTGGGAGACACTGAAATTCTGTTTGATGATAAGGACTCACAAGATACTTAATGTAAAACCTAGAGCCTCTTCCCCTATCTTTGTGACCCTTCCCTTCATCTCCCTTGTGTACATATTTACTTTTTACCTAGAGTCTTTTCTTATCTTCACTCACAGCGACTATACTATGACCTCACTCTACATCTCCAAGATAAGAGAGACAGAGAAGAACCTTCAAGTGGAACCAGCTAACAAGGCTGAGACAACTGAGCAAGTTAGTGTTTGCTTAATTTTCTCCATCTCCATTTCTCCAGTCTCAGCTAGGGGGTTTTTATAGAATTTTTAAGAGCATGGGAGGCAGACATCTAGGGCTTCTTCCCCAGGGCTTGGCCCATGCTTTCCGGGGAGCAAAAGGCCAAAGACCCAAACCAGCGACCTTTAGGATGATGCCATGCCATGGTTCTCTGTAGCATTTCTGGGAAGGACTATGAATCACAAATTTCAAATCGCCTTACCTTAGACTTTTAGTCACAAGGTACTTGTAGAGAAGGTGGTCTAGAAGGTACATTCATAGCCCCTGAATGAGGCACATGAGAAAAGACATGAGCATGACCTATGACTAAGACTTATCAGCTGGCGAGGTTCCCTATGTCTTTATCCTTTGGGTGAGGGAGACCAGGAGGCAGTGGTACAAATAAGGTAAAATCCCTCAGGTGATTTCTCCATGTAAAATCTGGATTCAGGGTGAAGTAAGAATAAAATTCTCCCCCTCGACTCCCCAAATCCTCCAAACTCATTTCTAGAGCAGAGAGCAGTGGTATTTCTCTGAGAGAACCACCAGCCCAGGACAACATCCTGCAATAGCCCTGGCTTATCACATTCAAGTACTTGAATTCTTGGACACAGAAGACCCTTAACCCTTTTTTAACCCTTAGAAAGAAAGGGCCTCAGGTAACTTCTTCTTCCATATGATAGAATTACAGAAAAAAAAGAAGGTTCTAGAACTTTGACTTAAGAGGACCAAAGTCCATGGAAAGTCTGTAAGTAAAAGCCTACCTTTCAACTCGTTTTAACTTTTGTGAACTTTCATTTGGAAGAGATACACTTAAAAAAAATTTTTTTATTGATACACTTTTGTGATCTCTTCCAAAAATGCAAATTACTATACTGACTCATGCTTGCAAGCCAACTGGCGGCTGCTGCTCTGTCAGAGGTGAAAGCCAGAGGTGAAACTAAGTCTGCTTTCAGTGCTCATCTGGGCAGTTAGTTCTGAGTACAGGGGAAGGTGTCTCTAAGAGAAACCTAGTGTTTTCCTACTTCTATCCCCATTCTTTCTAAAGGCCCTGACTAGGGGCACTACTGGCTCACTCTCCCTTCCTTTATCCCTTCTTGACCAAGTAAGAGGTCTCCAGTTCTCCATTCAAATTCAGTGCTGGCCAACATCACTCTCATGCCTCCTCATGGCAGGAGTGGTATCTTTGACTGCTAGGCCCAGCAAGTGACACAAGAATTTTAAAACCTAGTATCAAAGAATATCTACTGAAGATCTGGTTCACTTTCTTGCAGTTCTAGTAAAAATTAATGTTAAATCAGAAAAAAGACCTTATAACATCTATTTTCTTCCCTCTTGGTCCAAATCCACATGAGAACACAAGCAGGACTGCATCTGAGATTTCTTGACACTTTATTGTTATAATTTTATCAAGAAGTCGCCATTGATATCTTTAGGCTTACACCTCTAGCACAAATAGTATCTTTGGCCTGAGGAGTGTGCATCTTCATTCCCAGGACAGAAAGTACACATTGCCCAGTGTGTCTCCCACTGCAAGCTGCAGGGTAGAGTTGGGCCCCAACAAAGGTTCCAGGCAGCTCACAGCCCCTTCACACCGGAACAAGCCCAGCTACAATGGGAACAAAAAACAGGGATCTCCTTACTAACTTGTTTTTCTCTCACATTAATGCATTTTATTTGGAATAGGTTAGTCACACATTTATTTCAAAAAAGACAGAAGAAAGTAAAATTTTGATCTTTTAAAATTTCTTATCCCAAGCTGGCTCTCTTGTGACATCCCTTCAGCCCTCCTTGCACACATGCACACACACACTTACCAGTTGCATACTGGGTCTCTCCCACAGCTTCACATCTCTGTCCTTTGAAGCTGTCACCAGCAACTCCGGCAGTACATGGAGGGCTGTGACAGAGCCCAAGTGAACCTCGGAGAGGAAAGATAAGAGTATGGTGGGCCCTCTTTAGTGGAGAAAGTATCAGGATCAGACCTAGAGCCTCTTCCCCTATCTTTGTGACCTTTCCCTCAAACTCACCTTTCTACACTGCCGTGTCTTTAGCTCTGCGGTTCTTGGCCAGCTATGCATACACGAGTCTTCTTCTGAAGTTTGGGTTTCAGGCATTTGTACTGTTTCCTGCCAGATGTTACCTGTGGTCCATTCTCCTTCAAGGGTACATTTGGCTAGGTTCCAGAGCATCCCATCAGAGCTGGCACATACAAATGAGGATTCTGCCATTTCAAGGGCAAAGTCAGAGCCAGGTCTCAGGCCTTGAAGCATCCACCATCCTCCCCTAAGCCATCTCTGGATTCCTTGGGTCCTCCCACCACCACTCACCAGATTCAGGTTTGGCCTGAGTTACTGATATTAAGGTCCCACTAGGATTCTCTAAGTTCAGAACGAAGTTTAGGTGCTCTTCAAACTCTCCAGATTCCTTTTGCCTCTGTGAAGGGACAGATCATATTGTTTAGCCTACTTGTATCACTTAACCCTCCCAGACAACAGCAACTTTTTTCTCTTCTGGAATGGCTAGGACTTTTCTTTTTTAACTCTAACCCAGATATGTAAAGTAAAATGTGCATTCTCCAAGAATTTTTACACATGTATTCATCCACGAAATAATTGCCTAGATCAAGATGTAGAACATTTCCATCACCCTGGAAAATTACTGTTGCTTGTTCTTAAACTTCACTTAAGTGAAATCATGTCACATGCACTCTTTTGTGGTTCGCTTCTTTCGCCCAACAGAACGTCTTTGAGATATGTCTGTATTCCTCCAGACATGAATACAGTGGTAAGACAAGAGAGACAAAAATGTAATTGAGAAAACACCTAGATTTACAATTTTCTTTAACACTAGAATCCTTCTTTCTATCAATGAATTCTTAGAGGAAAATCCAATACATAATACTCTTAATTATAACTTCTCCAGCTGAATGAAGAGAAGGGGATTTGGAACCAACTGCCTTGCCCTTTCTTTTATCTTCCGTAATTTCCCCAAGGTTTTAAAATATTGGTCTGGACAAATGTGTACTTTAACACACACCCAAACAGGACTTACTAAGACAGAAAGACATCCAGGGGCCATTGGCTGCAGGGCAAACACACCATAGTCCTGATGGGTCGACAACATCATAGGAGAGTTTGTATATGTCTTCCTGGTTTACAAGAAGGAAAGAGACTTTAGAGGACGTCCAGCCAAAATGGAGGCATAGGGCAGATATGATTCACTTCCTCACACAACAAAAAGAAGGAAAACAACAAGTGTAAAAACAAAAAAACAACCAGAACTACCAGAAAATCAAATCCTGTGGAAGTCCAACAACCAAGGAGTTAAAGAAGAAACATCCATCCAGACTGGTAGGAGGGGTGGAGACAGGCAGCCAGAGCAGAAAGGACATGTGGCAAAGCATCAGCTGGGGACCAGGTGGTCCCACATTCGTGTGCAGATAAACTGGGGGGAACAACTAGGGAGTGAGACAGACCACGCAATCCAGGGTTCCAGCATGGGGAAATAAAGCCTCAAAACCTCTGGCTATAAAAACTTGTGGGGATTGTGGCAACAAGAGAAATGCCCAGATTCACAGGAGAGACCACTGGAGGGACCCACAGGGTCCTAGAATGTATGCAAGTCCACCCAATCAGGAATCAGCACCAGAAAGGCCCAATTTGCTTGTGGGCAGTGGAGGAAATGACAGAAAGTGGGACATCAGCCAAGCAAGCTGGCAAGTGGCATTGTCCCCTTTGTGATCCCTCCCCCACAGACAGCACCACAATGCAGCAATAGGGGTTGCCCCACTTGGTGAATACCTAAGGCTCCGCACCTTATAATGTAATAGGTGCTCAGAGACAAAGAAATATGGCCCAAATGAAAGAACAGATAAAGCTCCAGAAAAAATACAACTAAGTGATGAAGAGATAGCCAACCTATCACATGCACAGTTCAAAGCACTGGTAATCAGGATGCTCACTGAAATGGTTGAGTACGGATGCAAAATAAAGGAAGAAATGAAGGTTATACAAAGGGAAATAAAGAAAAATATACAGGGAACCAACAGTGAAGGGAAGGAAACCAGGACTCTAATCAACGATTTGGAGCAGAACAAAGAAATAAACATTCAATCAGACCAGAATGAAGAAACAAGAATTCAAAAAAATGAGGAGAAACTTAGGAACCTCTGGGACAACCTTAAAGATTCCAACATCTGAATCATAGGGGTGCCAGAAGGAGAAGAGGAAGAGCAAGAAATTGAAAACTTATTCGAAAACATAATGAAGGAAAACTTCCCCACATTGGTGAAGGAAAGAGACACACAATTCCAGGAAGCTCAGAGAATCAAAGAACTTGGACCCAAGGAGGACACCACCAAGGCACATCATAATTACATTACCCAAGATTAAAGAGAAGAAGAGAATCTTGAAAGCAGCAAGAGGAAAGGAGTTACCTACAAAGCAGTTCCTATAAGACTATCAGCTGATTTCTCAAAAGAAACCTCACAGGCAAGAAGGGGCTAGAAAGAAGTATTCCAAGTCATGAAAGGCAAGGAACTATGTCCAAGATTACTCCATTCAGCAAAGCTATCATTTAGAATGGAAGGGCAGATAAAGTGCTTCTCAGACAAGGTCAAGTTAAAGGAGTTCATCATTACCAACCTCTTATTACATGAAATGTTAAAGGGACTTATCTTAGAAATAGAAGATGAAAAACTCTGAATAGTAAAATGACAACAAACTCACAGCTATCAACAACTGAAACTAAAAACCAAAAACTAACTAAGCAAACAACTAGAGGAGGAACAAAATCACAGAAATGGAGATCACATGGAGGGTTGTTAGTGGGGAGGGATGGGGAAGAATGGGGGAAAAGAAATAAGAAGCATAAATGGTAGGCACAAAATAGGCAGGGGGAGGTTAAGAATAGTGTAGGAAATGGAGAAGCCAAAGAACTTATATATATGACCCATGAACATGAACTAAGGGTGGTATTGCTGGTGGGAGGTGGGGTGCAGGGCAGAGGGGAATAAAGGGGAGAAAAAAATGGGACAACTGTAATAGCATAATCAATAAAATATACTAAAAAAAAAAGAAGGAAAGAAACTGAACCCAAGAACACCTCTCTGTAAGACCCCAGTGTTAGTTTTCCATCAGACCCAACCTCAGGGTAACTACTAACCTCTCTTTCCTCTTTGTCCAGCCTGAGAGGAAACTCCATTTTGGATCTTACCAGATTTCAGAGGGACCATCCCCTGGCTTCAACTGCAGTAACTGCAAATCCGCATTGGCCAGGATGAGTGAATGACCATCAGGGGCCCGGCCCACACCTGTCAGGAACCCCAAGTCCTCCTGCAGAATTCGGTTCAGGTGAAGACTGTACCTCAAAAAAAAGCACATGGGTAGAGAAAGATCCTACTTTAGTCCACCTCTCTCAGGCCCCTCAGTCCCCCATAAATTCCTCAGGAGTGAAGTAAAAAACAAAATGTATTATCTTACCCACAAATTCTTTCTTCTTCTGATTTTCTTATATCAGTATTCATCATCATCATCCCCTTACTTCCTCAGAATAGGAATCTCTAACATTCTTGTCTTTTCCTTCCCTCCTGACCTCCAACTGATTAAAAAACACTGTGGATCCTATTTGCAACACACACCTAAATCTGTATCTCTCCTTCTCATCCCTACTGTCCAGATTAGGGTCCACATTATATCTTCCCTGACTATAGCAACAGCTATAAAAGTGGTCTCCCTACCTTTAGTATCTCTCTACTACTACCCATCCTCCTACTGCCAGCCAAGTTCTTTTTCTAAAATTCTGATCAATATTCTACTCAAAATTATGAGCACTGTACCCTCTACAGGCCAGCACCTGTTTATCTTTTCAATCTAATTCCCTGCCCCCACCTCCCACTAAGAATCCAAAGACATGGCTATATGTACTCAGAATACACCACACACTCTCATGCCTTTGTGCCTTTTGTTAATGCTGCTTCCTCTTCCTACAACTCCATTCCCTTCTGTTACTGGTCCAGAAAACTCCTACTCATCCTTTAAGCCCAACCTCAAATAGCAACTCTTTGGAAAACTAAATTTCTCCCTTGCTGGTGTGGCTCAATGAATTGAGTGCCAGCCTGCAAACCAAAGGGCCACTGGTATGATTCCCAGTCAGGGCACATGCCTGGGTTGCCGGGCCAGGTCCCTGGTAGTGGGGTTTGTGGAAGGCAACCACACATTGATGTTTCTCTCCCTCTCTTTCTCCCTCCTTTCCCCTCTGTCTAAAAATAAATAAATAAAATCTTAAAAAAAAAGAAAGAAAATTAAATTTCTCAAATTCTGCAGCCCCAGGAATTTTATTTTTATATATACATATATACACATATATACATATATATATTTATTGCAGCATTGATCACTCTGAATATTGTTGACAGTTTACTTATATGCACCCTCCTCTACTGTGAGCTTTCTTAATTAACAAATTAAGTTCACCCTGTCTAGCCCAGAGTTTAGCATAAAGTGGGCACTTAATAATTATTATTTAAGTTGAGACAAGGAGCAGAAAACAGTTTCCCAGGGACTTTTTTCTGCCTAATAACTAACATGGTATTGACCTAGTTCAGAAGTATAGGTGCAGTGATTTTAGTAAAATAAATCCTGGGTGTACGGAGACTACCATTCCTATCACATATTTAACCCAGTTGCTTCATTTTACCTGCAATTTCTGGGTATTGAACCCTTCTGCAGTTCCACTTGCCACTCGCTGACCTTTTCATTAGCACTGACAACAACCAAGGTGTTCACCGAGGACCAGATTAGAGCACTGATGCGGCCTGGAGCCTGGTATATACAACAAGTTCATTTCAATATTTCTGAGAAACCAGGATTAAGCCACTTTCCTCTCCCAGGCATCTATGCAACCTCCAACCCAGGTATGTACCATTAAATACATAATTGGGGCAGAATTTGCAGGATCTGAGGTTGCCCCAGCTCACCTGTACTGTGGCCACTGCCTTAGCTTCCTGCCATAAGGTCAGTTCCCCAGCTTGATTTCCAGACACTGCCACAGAACCGTCTGGAGCCCAGGCCACAGCAGTGATGGCTGCAGGACTCCTGGGTGTATTTGTCTCATCTGGAGAAAAGAGAAGTGATATTCATTAGGAGCTGGACCACTGCTGGGATGCAAGAGGGGATACCAGGCTACCCCTGACCTTCTTGGTCCCAGTTACACAACCTTCCTTCATACTTTACCTCCCTCCATATCTCACTCACCTGCTTCCTTAGGTACCTGCCAGAGCCGTATGGAGTCATCCTCTGAGATGGTCAGTAAGAGGCCTGAGGCCTCTGAAACAGCAGCCGCATTGATTGGGCCACTGTGTCCCAGGAGAGTATGTGTTTGAAACACCTAGGAAGAAAGAATGGAGAAGGGACCACAGGGGGTTGAAACACAGGTTATCCCGCTATACCTTTTCTACCTCTGCCACCCCAGTCCTTTCAGGAAACTCACCAAGAGTGGATGCCACAACCGTGTGGCCCCATCCAGTCCAACAGTCAGCACCAGAAGCTCTGACCCAGGCTGGCCCGCTGATAAGACACAGAGAATAAGTGAGAAGAGGGGGAGAAGCAGGAGCAAAGGAAAGGGGCAACGGGGAAGGGAGGTAGCTGACTATTATCACCTGCACGGGGCTCCAGGGCAGCTGCACAGTGGCTGATGGCTCCTGAGTGAGCAGGGATGCTGGTCAGCTCCACACCCTGATGGTCCCACACTTTCAAGGTTCCATCCCGGCCCACAGACACCACGTGTTCCTCCTGCCCCAGAGCAGAGTCACACTAAGCAAGACATGGGAATTATGACTTCTACCACAAAGGTGTGGGCTGAGCATTAGGGGCTTAAATGATGTTAAAGATTGAGGAGAACTAAAGACATAGAGCCAGGGGGCTCAGGGCTACAATTCTCCCACTAGGTCACAAATCTAAGATGCTGTTTTCATGCTTGCCCTCCCCTCACACCAACCATCAGACTCAACACCCTAACCTTCCTCTAATCCAGGCCCGAGCACCTTAATCTCGATGCTTCTTTGCCTTTGGGATTCGATACCCAATGCATCCAGTCTCCCAGAGCACCCTTTCCTGAGACCCCCAGTGAGCTCTGTATTGCCTTCTCACCACAGCCACTATGGCGCTCACAGCACTCTGATGACCCAGGAACTGACCAAGCTGCTGTCCCAACACTGGGTCCCATAGCCCCACAGAGCCATCACTGGAGCAGGAGACCTGTGGAGTCAGAGGTCAGAGGAGTGGGATTATCAGCATCCCTCCAGCATTTCTGTCTGCTTATAATAGAAAGCAATACATCTTGTGACTAAGAACATGGGCTGTCAGGGGTTCAAATCCTAGCTCTACCATTCCTTTCCTTGTGACCTGGGGCAAGTTCATCTCTCTCAGCTTTAGGTTTCTCATCTATTCAACTGGGATAATGACAATGCACCTATCTGACATGGTTGCTGTGGGGCTGATGCCACTATAGATAAATGATCTAGCACAGCTGCCTGGAATACAATGAGCAATGAATAAATAGTAGCTATTGTCCTTGTTATTAATATAATATGAGTCAACAAACCCAGACAAAGGCTGAAATGTCTGCAATGTCAAGGGAAGATTTGGCTGCCTAGAAGGCAGGGAGAGGACAAACTTTGGCAAGTCTATTCAACTTCCTCTCACTCTTTCCTCATTTCTTTTAGAGAACAACATGGGGACTCTCCATTGGACAACTAGGTTTCATCAACCTCAAGTACATAATGTGAGATTCATTTTTTGCCTTCAAACAAAGAAATAACAGTAGTGCCCTTTACTGCAGGGATGGGGCATCCTAAGCCCTTGGGAGACAGTTTTGTGTTCTTGTCAAGAGCATGAGCTTTCTTATCAAAAAGTTTACTGGCTCAGCTTAATCACTTACATGGCCTTGGAAATGGTCTTTAATCTATCTGAGTTGAATGTCCTTGTAGGTGAAGCACAGTTAAGAGCAGTATCTACTTTACAGGGCATTTTAAAGATTAAATGACACAACATATGTAAAGAGACAATGCCTGGCACACAATAACTGCTAGCTCTTACCATTAGTGTTAGTTATTACCATTATAAATGGGTTAGAAAAGGATGGAAGGTCAGATGGAAGGTGCTGTCCTCCCCCAGGAATCCGCCTGAGCTTTGCATCACTCCTGCTCTCCACTCACCAGTAGGTTGTCTTTGGTCCAGGCACAACCCGTGACCCAGTCACGGTGACAGGCAGGGAAGGAGCAAATCAGAACAGGGGCTGTGGGTGTCCTCACATCCCAGCAGAGGAGACTCTGGATAGTTCCCAAAATATAGAGGAGTCAGGACCATGGGAGGGAGGCAGGAACACCAAGGTCATTACAGACAGAAAGTTTCAAGGAAAGAGGGAGTATCAAGGACGGGAGGGTGGGCAAATCAAGAAAAAGGCCCAGAAAAGCAAAAGGAATTGGGCTGTTGAGGAATCCAGGAACCAGAGGGGCTGGGTACCCAGAGAGAGCAGGGCCTGGGAGTTGCATCCTTCTGCAGCTTACCCGATCCCTGCCCCCAGTGGCCAGGCTGCCTCCATCAGTACTGAAGCTACAGCAGTTTACAGGGCCTGTATGTCCCTGGAGTTCAGTGCCACAGGGAAAATCTTCTGCCTTTTGTGGCAGTGTCAGCAACTGCCTTGGCCACAGCCGTACTGTGAAATCCTCTGCATTGAAAATGAGGAAAAAGCAAAATTCCCTGAGAGAGGAAGCAAGATAGGCCTTGAGGCCAAAGACAAAAGCAATCATGGAGGCTGAGGATTGAGGATATGTCTACAGGCACAGCTCCAGGGGAGGGTAGCAATGAGTCACAGGCTGTACAGGGGCTCTGGACAAGGGTCAGTCATCATTTGAGTCACAGGACAGGATGGCAGGCACTCCCAGCACTGGCTCTGCAGCTGTCCCTCTCCAACTCCCTACCGCACCTCCAGACCTTCCTCTGCCCAAGCTTCCTGCCTAGAGAGGACTGAGGCCACTCTGCATTTTCACTTCCACACTTCTCTCACATCTTGAGGGAAACCCATCCCTTAACACAGAAAAGTCTCCCACTGAGAAGAAACTCAAAGGACTATAAAAATTACAAAGAGGTCCCAGAATCAGGGCTAGGGAACAAGAAGAAACAGTCTAGACTGATTGCACAAGATAAATGCATTTAAAAGGACTTTGACAGTTGTAAAAAAAATTTTGAGTGTGTATTTTCAATGATTCACAGTCCTACCCATGGCCCAGCAGTACCTGAGGCAGAAGCCAAGAGTTCCTGGGAGGTAGCCAGTCCCAGCACAGGCTTCTGGTATCTGGACAGGAGCCAGAGGGACTGAAGGGAGCTTTCCTTGAGTGCCCAGCCCTGCAGGGACCCATCTTCAGCACCACTCACCAACACCTTAGGGCTTAGCCAGGCCAGTGCAGACACTGCCACATCTAGTGCTTGACACTGAGCCCCCTGGGAACCTAGAGAATGAGAGAAAACAAGAGAGAGACAGATACTTGGAAAGGGGGGCCCTCTTTCCAAAGGCTCAAACACCCCATCCTTTCTCCCTTTGTACCTGAAGATATTTTGTAGACCTTGATGCCATCAGCTCGGTAACCAACAGCCACATGATCACCATCTGGGCTGAGAGCCACGGAGAGGGCAGGAGAGAGAGAAAGGGAACCTAGGCACCCCCTGGGCCGACCCAGTGACCCGGACCACACCTGAACCTGAGGGACAATAAAAGGGCCTAAAGATATCCCACTTCTACCCAATTATAGCCACCCTGTTAAAGTCCTCCCTCCAGACACTCTTCTGAGAGATGTCTGTGTGCACACCCACACCCTTCTTCCTGAAGCTCACACCAGCCAAGCTATCTCCACAGTCCCCTCAACAAAGGCCCACCCCCACCCAAAAATTCCCTGTCTTTGCTACTCCCTCGCCATAACCCACCACCAGCCCCCCTGTAACCTGACCTTGCCATCCTCTCCGGCAGTCAGTAACTGGCACCCGGCATGCAGAAAAAGGGCAGAAGCCACAAAGCCATGATGGGCAGGGAAGGCAGCGAGCCGTGCCCCCTCCTGCCAAGCCCACAGCTCCACCATCCTGTCCAGCCGGCCCACAGCCACAACCCGCCCAGGAACATTGAAAGCCAAGGTACGGACAGCAGCTCCGGGAGCTCCCAGTTCCTACCCGGGGAAGTAGAAATGGAAATGTCAGGGCCTGCTCTCAACACATCCCACAGTGACACAGAACATGGATGTCCATCAGTCCCCATCTTCCACTGCTACCCTTCCATGAGCCTCCCCGGGGACCTCTTACCTTGGTGACTTCGAGTCCATCCACATGGAAGAAGTTGACACTGCCAGCCCAGCTACCTATGGCTATTACCTGCCCCTCTGGGTGAAATGCAACACAATTCATGGGCTTAGAAGAGGTGTGCTGGAAGGCCAGCTGCCCTCGGACTGTGTCCCACAGCTGGAAGAGAGAAGAAGAGGAATCAGGTGCTGAAGACAGGTGCCTGGGCTCTTTAGTCCCACGGCTCCAGGGACCATCTTATCCAGTCCCCCGCCCCCAGTAGGAAAGGTTTCCCCAGGCCTAGCAGTCAGCAGCCTATGCCACATTGACAGAACAACCTCCCAGGCCGACTCTGCGCTTGATGGCAACTATGACTTCCACAGTCATTACCTTCAGGCATCCCCCTAGGCACACAGTGGCCAGCAGCCGGTGGTCTGGGCTCAGGCAGCAGCCAGTGATTTGGTACTGGTGAGCCTTGGTCTGGAGCACCCTATCCCAGAGACACAGAGTTAGGCCCCAGGCCCTCTGGCCACAGGCTTCCCCGCATTCCCCTCTCCCTGGGCTTCCCACAAACAGGACAGGCCCTCACTCCAAGACATGAAAGGCCCCTTACCGACAACCATGCTGCAGGTCCCAGAGCTCGAGGAGCCCATCAAAGGCAGCAAGGAAGAGGGCAGTGTCCGAAAGGAATGAACAAGAAGAGACCCCATCACAGCCACTCACCAAAGATTTCTCCTCCTGTGACAGTAAGCGGGGTAGCATGCTCAAAACATTCCCTTGACCTCCCCGTGTCCAGCCACTCCTAGCCCCAACCCAATGGGAGGCCATGGCAAGAAGGGCTGGAATCCCTGGCTCTCTGCATCTCTACATAAGTCTCAAGGTATGGCTCTCTGGCCCCACATTAGGAACATCTGTTAAAAGTCCAAAGCTTTGGGTCCCTCTCCAGACCTAGGCCAAGCTCTGATCTAAGAAGGGGCTTGGGATCCCAGTGGGGCCATACCTTGTCCTCCACTGCAAATTCCATACATATCCCCCAATCACAAAAGACTTTGGGGGGTCTGAGTAGGGAATGAGGTTACATGTATGCATATATATGGGAGGCATGATATGGATAGAAAAATGAGAGACCCACCTTTCCAGCTTTTAAGTACTCTCTGCTGCAATCGTTCCCAGCAATTTACGGGAAACCTTCTCTCCCCATGTCTTTGCTCAGGCTCCTCCTCACTCAAACTAGAAGGCCCTTCTCTGTCCTACCTCCTATGGTCACTGTGCAACTCAGCTCAGATCTATGAGACACGGCTATGTTTTGGTTCCATTTTATCTGCTATGTCTCTTCTTACAACAAAACTAACCACTTGGCAGGCAAAGACAATGTCCTAAGCCCCAAGTTCCCTGCAATGCTTAAAAACAGTGCTTTGAATGAAAGGTATGTGGCAAACATTTGCTGTGTGATTGATTTTTGGCCAAGTCCTTTTGATCTGATGTGAGGGAAGTAAAGTGGCTGAATCAAACACAGTGACAGCAGGGGGGCTTGGCCTGTCTAGGGCCTCAGGACAGGCTGTGACACTTTTCTGAAGCTAAATTGCCCCACCTTGAGTGTCATACCTGCCAGGTTCTCAGGTCCAGCAGGTAAACTGTTCCATTGGCAGTGCCCACAGCAGCTCTTTGCCCACTGGGGGAGAAGGCCACAGCTGTGGGGGATGAGGAAACTGCCAGGGACAGGCTGGAGCTAGAGAAAGAGCAGGAAGAAAGGGAGGAAATGAGGAATGAGGGAAAGGAAGCAAACAAGAATTAATTTTGCATTTCTATGCCTGAGTCCCCCTCTCCACGATCTGATCTCTCCTTTATTCTCCAGTTTCAGAAAGGGCTGCAGCTTGCTCTTTGATGAGCTTACCACAGTCTGGAATTAAGGATTTTACCTTTGCTGGCCCCCCATGGTGTGGGGTTTATTTAGCCATCGTAGCATGCGCTGGAGGTGCCACCGCTGGGACAGCTGGGGTGCCTGGTGGCAAAGAGGTGAGTCTGGAGGTTGGTTGGCTGCCTGCTGGGGCAGGAGCATGGGGTACAGACCCAGAATGGGAGCCTGTTGCTTCAGGAAAGTATGAAATACAGCAATGTCAGCCTCAGGAAGCTTTTGTTCCTCTTCAGGGACTGAGGAAGCTAGGAAGAGATGCAGAGGGTCAATGGAAAGCCAGCCTGGACCCCCATGACCCTCAACACCAAATACAATTACATGTGTATCTGAAATGGTAAGTCTCCCAAGTGTGGCCCTCTGGGGCATCAGGAACATCTATTAAAAGTTCAAATCTCTGGTCCTCACTCCATCCCTTAGGTAACCAGAATCTATGGACCCAGAGCTCTTCAATTTGAACAAGTTTCCCAGGTAATTTTAAGCCCATGAAATAAAGTTTGAGAACCTCTCATCTAAGATGTTTAGGCAAAAGATCTCCTGGGACTCAATTGCTGATCTTCTTGGCATTTCCCACTAGGAATGGAAATTGGATTGTTCTTTCCACTACACCCCCCTCTGACCAGGCTCCCCACAGACACACCCAGGGACTCCATATCTCAAAGAAGATACCACAGAGTAGCTCATCTCACCATAGAGGGCATGGGCTTCCAGAAGCTGAGAGATCAGACCCAGTTCCAGGTGTGCAGCCACCACGTGGAGACTGGTGAGAAACTTTGCAAGAAGGCCATGGTTCCCGCTCTGGAGCTGAGAGGGCCAGAGTGGATTCATTAGGGATGTGAAGAGGCTAGTGAGGAGGGTCAATCTAGTCTTAGCCCCGCCTGTACAGCTGGGACCTAGATCTAAGAGCTGGGACAAAGGATCTGAAAGAGGAGGGCAAGAAAACCAAAAGCAGAAAAGTAAAGGGAGCTTGAGGGGGATAATGGCAATGGTGAGAGAGGTCATCTAGGGAGAGAGGGGTCTCTGAACAGTCAAAGTAGTTGCTTGGGAGAAGGTGCCTGTGGGATGTGAGGACTAACCAGGTGATAAGGCAGGTCTTCCAGAGCCTCAGGAGGGCAACTTCGGAAGGTGCCTGAGGCATCAGGGTCACAGGTCTTCCAGAGCTGAGCTGGAGGTATGGGTCAGAGGAACAAACATTGAGGCGATTTTAGCTCTGACACATTTCCAAAGATTACATCCTTCAGGCTGTAGCAAGCCATCTACCCACTCAGGTGGTAGGCGAGGAGGCCAGCAGATAGATAGGGAGCACCAGTGGGTGGTCCTGGCCTTCGGGCCCAGGGCCCACACTCAGTGCCCTGGGCTAATCTGGGCTGTAGTTACCTGCTATGAGGACGTGCGCTGTGCGCTCCAGCTCCAGCCTCTTCCCATATCGACATTTAACTGCTGTCCTTAGGGGTCCATCAGGGAGGCAGAGCCGGGCACCAGGCCGCTCCAGGGGGCCCTCCCCTAGCAAACTGTCCTCATGTGAGGGAGAAAAGGAAGGAGAACAGAGGGAGGAGGCCCATCAGTGAGCATCTTGACACAGCTGTGGGCTCCCATTCCCATCTTACACTGTGGTAAGTTGAGTGGGAGCCATCCAGGGTCTGGGGAATAGGTGTCAGTGGCTACACAGAGGGAAGGGTGAGGTGAAGAAAAGATCACATGAGGCTCTGGCTCAAAGATGGGAAGACACAGGAGGTCAGCTGGAGTCATCTGTACCTGCGCAGACTCTGGACGAGGTAGGCAAACGGGCCCATAGGGTAGGGGTACCCACTGTGACCAGCAGCCACTGCTTCTTCCCAGGTCTTGGTCCCTCTGGGAAGAAACTGCCATGCACTCAGCACTCCATGGAGCTGATCCACAGTAAGACCTGAAAATGCAAGCTCTCTGAGGCTCTTACCAAACCACACAGTATACCCCCATCCCCAGGACACCTAGTCCCTCCTTGCACTGCTCACAGAGTCCCCCAGTGAACCAAGGTCATCCAACCACTGAGCCCATAGCCTCCCAATTCTCCCCAAGCACTGACCACTGCGTGTGACCTCAAGGGTGGCCAAGGCTTGGGGAAGGACATCAGGGCCATGCTCTTGCTCCAAGGTGCCCAGGATGTGCTGCAGCAGCAAGGGGACAGTGGCAGGCAGAGTCCGGAGTCTCTCAGACACCTGAGAGAGGAGAGAGACAGGCTGCAGTCAGTGCAGGGAGAGGGAGAGGCAGCTTTGGTTGTAGGGAGGGGAGGGGGCAGCAGAAGAAACCATGGGAAAGGATGAAAAGAAAGGAGGGGAAGGGAGAACAGGTGGGAGAAGAGAAAAGCAGGGTTGGGAGTGACGTGAGGATGGGGAATAGGTGATCACAGATGTCAAAAGATAACGGTGGGAGAAGGCGAAAGATGGGAATGAAAGAAGCTAAATGGAGATGGGAGGTAGGATTAGGACTCAGAAGATGAGGAGTCGGGGTTTACATCCTCAACCAACCTGCTCATAGAGTGTGAAGAGCCGCAGGTGATCAGTGACCAAGCGCAGGTAGAGCGGCAGGGCTGACCCCCGCTTCACCAACAGCAGCTGCATCTGATGAGACTCAGAGGACTCAACATGGGTACCAGAGAGCCTGCCCACATCCAGCCCACAACCCCCTGCTTTCCAGTCCAGAACAAAGCCCATTGTAAGGCAGCTCCTCCTCTGAGAACCTCCAGCAGTGGTAAGATCCACGGCATCGCCTAGGGTACAGCCTCCCCTTCCCTATGCTGCTCTGCCCAGCTGGCCTCTTGTGGAATCCAATGTGGCTCAGTCCGCCCCATCCAATAACCACAGCTTCACTCCTCCCCTCACCCAGATGAGCCCTAGAGAGGCCATTAACCAGGGTAAAAGGCTGGGAAATCAGTTATCTTAACAACTTCCCCCTGGCACAGAGTTCCTGAGAAAACAAGAAGCAGCCAGTCTGTGTGGGGCAGCTGGCTGCCTCAGCACCCTGGTCCTCAGAGCTCCCAGACCCACCCCACACACCCACCAGCCCTGGCCTCAATCCAACCTGGTTGTTAAAAGGCGACTCTTCCAGGCGCTTCCCGTACAGAGCAAGCTCCTCTCTCACCAACCGGGCCCGAGCAGATGGTTCCAGAGGCCCCAGGGCCACCACATGGGCACCTTGGTTCTGCTCAAGGGTCTCCCCCAGGCTTGCATCACTAGACACACTCAGCACCAGGTGTACCCCCTGTGATATTTGGACAAAAGATTATGGAAGTAGAAGGAAAAGGAGAGCAAGGTTAGGGAGGCCCCTTTCCTCCATGCTGCATCCCACTCCCACCTCCTTCTCACACTCACCTGGGGAAGGGTCTTTGGGATCCAGTCTGAGATCAGCTGCCCATGCTGGCCCACCAACCTGTCAGCCCCATCGATGATCAGCACCAGGGTCTGGCCAGACTGCAGGGACTGGGCAGCCTTGGGCAGCAGCCTCTGCTGCAGCTCCCAGACCAATCCCCTGTATGTGGAGGGGAAGGACCAAGGTCAGCCAGAGACGGAGATGCAGGGATGGCATCATGCAGTGTCAGCAAGGGAGGGCTAATGGGGAAGATACATACCGGTAGGTATGGGGGAGGGCACGTGGCTCTTGCACTTGGCTATGTAGATAGACACAGAGGCGTCTAAGTAGGGCAAGGGCCAGACCCTGGTCAGGGCGGGCTCCTGAGAAGTGGAAGAAGACTAAAGGGGCCACCTTGGCCCCACTGGGAACCTGCAAAGCTGACACAAGGGATGCCTGTATGGGAAAGAAACAGAAAACAGGGTCACATTTTACATACACGAACTCCCTGGTCCCACATCCTCAGCCCTCCTTAGCCCACATAGCCCTCCATCCCTCTTGCCCAGGCCTCTGAGACTCTGTACCAGGAAAGCAGTCTTGCCCTGTCCCGACTGCCCAGTCACAAGGCTCAGACTCCCTTGGTGCAGCATCAGCTGCTGTACTGTGTCCTGAAGAAGGCGAGGCCGGGCGGGACTTGGTGGGTTCTGCAGCTGCTGAAACGTGGCCTGGACCAAGTCATCATCTGGGATGGACACTGGCTGCTCCAGCTGGGCTCCAGGCTGAGGGCACATGGGGCTGTGACTATATGTCCATCCTCCTCAGGAACCCAGCACTACAAGTTTCAGAGCTCCCACAAAGTTACTTCCCACCCAGGAGTATCCAGAACACCCTACCTCCACTCTACTCCCAGGCCAGCACTGCTCCCACTGACCTGTAGGTAAAGCTTCTGGATCATATTCCACACATCCTGCAGAACCAACTGCCCAAACTCCTCCAGCCCCCCAACATAGGGCCGGCCAGCTGCCACACCCCCCCACTTGCAGGAGTATCTAAGGGCAAAGCAAGCACAAGCAGAGTCAGTGCAGAGATCCCCTCACCACCTCTGTGCAGGGGCTCTCCTCTCCCCCAGCTCACCTGCGACAGGTAACCCCTTTCTGTTTGTTCAGGTAGCTCTTTAGTTCTGAGATCCGACGTACAGCCTCTTCAGACTCAGGAATAAAGTCAGGTTTCCAGGCATCTGGCACGGAGCTGACCACCCAAGAAACCCCAAGAATGCTGCTGGACTCAGGCTCCAGCCTCTCTCCACCCCCAGCCACCAGGCCTGGCTGTGGTTGCCTGAAACTCCTCCAGTGGAAACCTCCCGACTTCAAGGCTAATCTGGTGCTGCAACGGCAAGCCCTCTCAGCCCTGTTTCTCTCTTCTAGCTCCCCTTCCTCTACTCTTGACTATGGGAAGAAAAGACATGCCACTGAGCCTGTCTGGCCTTCTACGGAGATCAAGGCCTGGAGCCCAAAGAAGGTACCTGAGGAAGCTGGAATCCCGGAAGTAGATGAGCCCTTCAGCGGAGGGCTGTAGGCGAAGGCCCCGATTCAGGAACTGCATCACCTCCATCTCTGTCACAGAGCGACCCGAAGGGTACTGCTGGGCCTGAGGGAGAGGGCAGAGAACAGGTGGGGTCCATTCCACCTCACTCTAACCCCTCCCCTGAGACCTGCCAAGACCCCAGAGCTCCTTCCTCTCAGTAATGTTCCTCCTTCCCTCCAGACACCAGCCAATAAACTATAGCAAACAGCTAACATTCACTGAATGCCCATCATGTACTGAGCATTTTTTTACAGATTTCTAATTCTCAAAATAACCCAGCAATGTAGATGTCAGTGTTTCTCTTTGGTATATGGGGGAATTGAGGCCAGATTAGGATAAACTATTTCCCAGAAAGCCACACAAGGACTGAAGGGAGAACAGAACCTAGATCCATCTGATGGCAAAACCTAAACAGACCTGGCCTCTTAATTTCACATCCCTTGGTCACCAAGGGTACTGCTCAAAGGAGTTCCCTCATCTAGGACTTGGCCACTCACAGAACCTTCTGTCTGCATTTCACTTCAAGTCTCAAGGACCTGCTTATACATAATCCCAGGGGTCTTGACAAACCATGGCTTCTCCCCACTCCTGTCCCAACCTTTGCTTCCCCACCCAGACCTTGCTCCAGCCTTGTCTGCCTTACCCAGCGGAAGTGAGGATGGTCAGGGAGGTTGTAGGTGTGGGGAACGTAGCCATAGCGGGAGCCCAGAATCCCCACAAACAGCTGCGAGTTCTCCACCTCCCCGAGGCACACTTCCAGTTGCCTGCAGGCATGGTTATGGAGCATCACATCAGGGAACACAGGCACAAATGGAGAGCCAGGGCCCTGGCTCACAACTGAGCAGCACAAAGGCAGGCTGCTCTTGTTAGCATACTAGGAGCAATCTACTGCTCTCAGCTCTCAGGCAACCTTACAGCCCCAAGACTGCCCACCTTGGTGCCACCACTCCAGTCCTTCACCCAGCCCTTCTTCTCTGTGGTCCCCGCACCTGTTTCTACGGGTCTCCTCCTCAGTGATGCCCCAGCGCAGGTCAATGGCATGAAGGCTAATGCGGTGGGGGGCAGCTCGGGCCTGCAATGCTGGTAGCACAGACCTCAGCAGCAGGTCCCGCTCCCCATGCATGTCCCGGAAAGTGGAGGAAATGAAAAGCCGGATGCTGCGCCACCTGCGGGGCAAGCAGAGTGTTGGGCTCAATCTAGGGATCAGCCCCACAGCCCAATTCCACAGACAAGGCCATGATCACCCTTCAGCACGAGCACGAGCCAGGTACAACAGCCAGCAGGAGGGTGTCCAGGAGGCCTCCAGAGAATAAGCTGTTTGTAACCCCAGCTGCAGAGCCCTAGACATTAAATCCCACTTGCCATTTCCCACGCACCCCTCCTTCGTCAGATAATAATTATGATGCACTTACTATCTGCCCAGGGAAGGCTCATGACAACACTGTCAGATGAACACAATCATTATCTCTGGTTTACTGATCAAGAAACTACAGCTTAAAAAATTAAGAAACTAGCAGCCCAAGATTCAAGGTAATGTTTGGCAAATCCAGGATAAAAAAGTCAGAGCCCATGCTCCTAGGCCCCCTGCTTGAGCCCTGGCTGTATGCTGCCCACCTCACATTCTGACTCCCTTTCCCCAACAGATAAAGGGGCATGCTCACAATCTGACAATTTCCTGTGTTAGAGAGTCCCCTGCCTGAGAAAGCAGAAGCATACTTCGGTGAATAGAGCAAGTAGCACCTGAACAGCCAGAATTTCAGTCCCCTGAGTTTCTTCAGGTTTTGAAGGCAGCCCCATCCAATACACAAAAGCACAGAAACATAGACTGACCCACGTTGGGAAATAGAAGACAAGGGGCTTGGAGTATTCTCTTCCAGTGGCCGGAGTGACAGGGCCCCTGTCTTTCCTGGGGAAGGTGGAATCTTGAATATTTTATCCATTTGGCCCACATGTTCTAGAAGACGGGAGGCCCCACGCTCTGCAATGAACCTGAAATAAATAGCGACCAAAAAAATGAAAGTAGAACACCACAGTCAGAGTCAGTAAAGTTGCCCTGGCCGGTGTAGCTCAGTGGATTGAGTGTGGGGCCTGCAAACCAAAAGGTCACCAGTTTGATTCCTGGTTGGGGCACATGCCTGGGTTGTGTGCCAGGTCCCCAGTGGGGGTATGCAAGAGGCAACCACACACTAATGTTTCTGTCCCTCTCTTTCTCCTTCCCTTGCCCTCTCTCTGAAATTAAATAAATAAAATCTTTTAATAAAAAAATTTAAGTCTTCTAAGGGGACAAGAGACAAGGATATGGATAGGTTAGGTCCCCCAGCACTCCTTAAAAAGAGGATCATAGGCAGTGATTGTAGACTTAAAACAAATGATGGTGTAGAACCCCAGGAATGAATGAAAATAAAAAAACCCAGTTCTAGTCCCTTCTGTTATGCATGGTTATTATAGGCTTTCTACTGGGCCAGGGGAAACTGGGCTGGGCAAAAGTATAAAGATGAAGCCATCCTAGTCAGAGCTGGATCAGTTCTGTACCAGCCTTGAATGCTCCCTGAAGAAGGAAGAACTGCATGAAGCTTACTAATAGGAATTTGGGCAATAGGTGGCATCCAAAGAAAAGGCAGGGAGGAAAACATGTAAATGAGGCTATGCATGGCTAAGCATGGACAAAAAAAACTACAAAGATTTCTGTAAATTTGGCATAAATAACTAACTGTAGCATGTGATTTCTTCTGGATCAAGAATGGAACAAAATACTTCCAGCCAAGATGGAGGTACATATAGATACACTTTGCCTCTTCACACAACCAAAACAAGGACAACAACAAATTTAAAAACAGAAAATAACCAGAACTGCTACAAAATCAAACAGTATAGAAGTCCAACAACCAAGGAGTTAAAGAAGAAACATTCATCCACACTGGTAGGAGGGGCAGACATGGGCAGCCAGGGCCAAAAGGACATACATCAAGGCAGCAGCTGGAGGACCCAGTGGTCCCACATTTGCACGAAGGTAAACTGGAAGGAACAACTGGGTAGCGAGACAAACTGTGCAACCCAGGGTTCTAGCATGGGCAGAAATAAAGCTTTAAAACCTCTGGCTGTAAAAACCTGTAGAGATTGCAGTGGCAGAAGAAACTCCCACCCTCACAGGAGAGTTCTTTGAAGAGACCCATAGGATCCTAGAATGGACACAAACCCACCCACCTGGGAATTAGCACCAGAAGAGCCCAATTTGCTTATGGGTGGGGGGGAAGTGACCAAAAGCCAGCCAAGAACTGAGCAAGCGTCATTGTTTGCTCTCAGACAACCTCCCCCACAAACAGCAACGATGTGGGTTGCTCCACCCTGGAGAATACCTAAGGCTCCGCCCCTTACAACATAACAGGCCCACTGAGACAAAAAATATAGCCCAAATGAAAGAACAGATCAAAGCTCCAAAAATAGAACTAAATGATGAAGAGATAGCCAACCTATCACATGCACAGTTCAAAAAACTGGTAATCAGGCTGTTCACAGAAATAGTTGAGTATGGTTGCAAAATAAAGGAAAAAGTAAAGGCTATATAAAGTGAAATAAAAATAGACAGGGAGCCAACAGTGAAGGGAAGGAAACCAGGACTCTAATCAACGATTTGAAGCAGAACAAAGAAATAAACATTCAACCAGAACAGAATGAAGAAACAAGAATTCAAACAAGTGAGAGAGGCTTAGGAACCTCCAGGACAACTTTAAACATTCCAACATCCGAATCATAGGGGTGCCAGAATGAGAAGAAGAAGAGCAAGAAATGGAAAACTTATTTCAAAAAATAATGAAGAAGAACTTCCCCAATCTGGCAAAGGAAATAGACTCCCAGGAAGTCCAAGAAGCTCTGAGAGTCCCAAAGAACTTGGACCCAAGGAAGCATACACCAAGGTACATCATAATTATATTACCTAAGATTAAAGAGGAGAAAATCTTAAAAGCAACAAGAAAAAAGGGGACAGTTACCTACAAAGGAGTTTCCATAAGACTATCAGCTGATTTCTCAAAAGAAACCTTGCAGGCAAGAAGGGGCTGAAAAGAAGTATTCCAAGTCATGAAAGGCAAGGACCTACATCCAAGATTACTCTATCCAGCAAAGCTATCATTTAGAATGGAAAGGCAGATAAAGTGCTTCCCAGATAAGGTCAAGTTAAAGGAGTTCATCACCATCAAGCCCTTATTATATGAAATGTTAAAGGCACTTATCTAAGAAAAAGAATAACATCAAAAACTCTGAACAGTAAAATGACAACGAACTCACAACTATCAACAACTGAACCTAAAAAATACAAAAACAGATGAAGGAAACAACTAGAACAGGAAAAGAATCAAAGAAATGGAGATCACATGGAAGGTTATCAGCAGGAATGGGAAGGAGGGAGAATGGGGGAAAAAGGTACAGGGAATATGAAGCATAAATGGTAGGTACAAAATAGACAGGGGAAGGCTAAGAATAGTATAGGAAATGTAGAAGCCAAAGAACGTATATGTGTGACCCATGGACATGAACTAAGTGGGCATAAATGCTAAATGGAAGGGGTGTTCAGGGCAGAGGGGAATAAAGGGGAGAAAAAAATGGGACAATTGTAATAGCATAATCAATAAAATATATTTTTTAAAAAATAGAACAAATAGAAATAATGTGACCAACTCTTGAGTTGTTCACTTAAAAGCAAACAGTGCAATATCCCATGTCCCCTTTTCCTCTTTCCCAGTAGATACAATACAAAAATGATGGCTGGAGCAGTCATTTTGTACCATGAAGAGGAAGCAGAATATTTGAAAATGGTGGAACAATAAGGCAAAAGGTGCCTGGGTCTCTGTAACACAGTGTCGCTGTGCTGCCTAGACTGCTATAAAAGAGGAATTCACTATTTTCCTTGAAAAAAAACCTAAATGGAGTAGACACCACAAATATCACCCAAAAATGCTCTAACAAACCCCCAACCTTTCCAGTGCCCAACCTGTACTCACTTCAGTATCCCGTCAGTACAGCCTGAGAGTGTCACTTCATTGGGATTCAAATCTGGTGGTCTGACAAAGGAAGAAGAAGCCACCACCAATCAGAATCAGTGCCAGGAACACAGTCACTGCCCCCTAACACCCTAGGATAGACACCCCACCTCTGTGTTTTTTAACAGGGTTATGTGCCAGCCTGGGGCTAGGGTGGACCCTCACAAAGGGGTACGAGCTAGGCTGAAAACTTCAGAAAAGTTTCTTGCATCTAAAGTGCCTCAGACATAAGAGGCAGAGCTGGGAAGGTGCCTAGCAAGTGGGAGAGTCCCACCTTTAGTAAGGTAGAAATATGGATCACTGTTCTCTGGCACCGGGCAATCAATGTGTGTGAGTGCCCTTACCTGCTCCATGTCCCTCTTAGGAGAACACCGACAAAGAGGCACTTGGAATTCACATGCTGCCAGATAAACTGTTTGGCCTCATTTATCAGTTTGTCATTCATAGCCTCTCCAAAGACCACAACCCTGTCCACCTGTAAGATAAAAGGGGAGGCGCTGAGCCTAAGGAACAAAGGAACAGAAGACAGGCTAAAGAAATCAGGACATCAAGAGCTCTCCAAGAACTGGGGGAATCTGGAGAATTCTGAGCAGTAAGATAACTGCCTCTCCTGAGAGCACTTTGGGCCAGGCAGCCATTGCACCCTGACTGGGGGGGCATCAAAGCAGCGGTGGGGGAAGGGGCAGTGGTGTGCGGGGAGCTGGCTCATTCCGGCTCCCGAGAGCTGACTGCCAAATATTTAGGAATTTTGAGAGCCAGTTGTTAAACATGGCCACTATTAAATATTAAATTGTATGAACTTACAGTTAAATAAATAATGTTAAAAACAAAGGTAATAAATAAAAATTCATCACTTCCTAATTATTTTATTACATCTTACCATTATCTAGTCTTGATCTTACTTACATGCACTTTATCTGTATTGTGGAAAGACTGTACATACAATGGTATAATACTTAGTTTCTCTTCTTAACTCTGAGTTCACTGATATCTTGAAATCAACCATGGAGGGAGTATTTACACCATGGAAATTAATTAACCAAAAAAATCCTACTAACCAACACTTATTTTTCCTAGATTGCTGGTTGTTAAACATTTACCAGCCTAACACTGGTTAGGGGGTTGCATCCAGCAGGGAGTTGATCTGGGCACTGTACATGGTTTAAAATGCCAGCTTGGAGGAATGAGACACATTAGTTGTGGAGGCAAATGTGGGGGAAGGGGGGGTTTCTCATGGACTGGGCAGTACTCACAGGAATCCTCTGGGCAGCCAGAGACAGCAGGTACTTCCCCAAAGTATGCAGTGACCATTCATAATTTCCATTTAATTCCTGAAGGAAAAAGCCTCATGTTAGGTGGCTGCCTGAGAGATCTTCAGAACTGTGCATACCTAAGCCTTTCCTGACTAGGCAGGCTGCTGCCAGGCCTGTGTCCATTCATATATTTTTGCACAGTGCAGGTGGGTGACTGACCTGGACTTGAGCCTGAAGTTCCACTGCAGTCTTCAGGATACCTTCTTCCGCCTTAATCACAGCTGTCTTCACAGTGCTCCAGCCGCAGAGCAAGGCATCCGTGTGCTCTGCCCTTGCAATCATCATTCCAATCAACAGCAACACGTAGTTCAGGGCAGGCTGATTGGACGAACGGCAAGGTGAAATAAGATTCCCTCACTTTCAAATCCACTTTTGTCTATGCAGCCCTGAAGGCCAAACATATCCACTGCTTGGGGAAAGGGACAAAATCCCAAATTAGGAGGGGAGCACTTTCAGCAGCCCTCAGGCAGAGCTGCCAGGAGAGAGGTGGAGAGAGGACAGGATCCCTGCCCAGATTCAGCACTTGGATGTAGGGAGGTAAAAGTGAATATTTGGGTGACAGACATTTAGAGATTATATATCAGCCAAATGTGAAATGTTAGTACTATAACCCATGAACAGGCTTGAGACCCCATTCTAGGAATTACCCCTGGGAACCAAGGTCTGACACTGGGAAGCAATTACAAGTCCTTTGTTTCACTTGCTTGCTTATGCCTGCTTGCTTATGAGAACCAAGTCTGTGAACAGGATATGTCTGAGAAGCCTCAGCATCCTATCAACCCCTCGCTTCTTTTACTTTTTTTACCCCTTGTGGGTTGCTCTTGGGACAGAGATGGTCTGCAGAGGCATCTGTCAGATAGACCAACAGGGTGCGGCCTGGCAGTGGGGGTAGGCTGTGCTTCACAGAGAGGTTCACGGCGGTCTCCAGGGCCTGTCGATACCGAGCCAGCATCTCACCATCATATTTCCACTGTCTGCAGGCAGGAAAACCACAGATAGAAGGACTTAGGGGTTTCTCTGCCATGTTAAGGTAGATGAGAAGATGAGCACTTGCCAGTCAAGTATTGAGTCTTCCCCACCCCCTACCTCCCCACCTTCCACAGCCTTCCTCCATTGCCAGTAGAGAACACTGGGACAGAGCTTCCCTTTGCTGTCATTCTATGGGACTCCCAATCCATTACCGTGGCAAGAGAGAAGTCATCTGTAGACCCACCCTCTGAAATCAGTTGTTACACTTGCTCCATGAGGCAACATTTAACTGCTACAAATTTTAAAATTGTATTTTAAAGAACAAATACAGCTTCCAGTCAATATGGCAACGTAGGCAGACATGACTCGCCTCTTCACACAACCACATCAAAATTACAACTAAAATACAGAACAACCATCACTCAGGAACATCAGAAATTGAGTTGAATGGAAGTCTGACAACTACAGAATTGAAGAAACCACAGACAGTAAGTCAATAGGATGAAAACAATTAAAAGATTAAAAGAGATTTAAGAAACTAAATAACCAAGTACAATGTGTATGTTTGGATCCTGACTTGAATAAAACTGTGAAATAATATTTTTGAGACAAATAAAAATTTTTAATATGGACTAGATTATAAATAATATACCAAGGAATTTTTTTCAGTTTGTTAAGTATATTAATGACATTCTGATTATATAAATGTCTGCTTTAAAAGACACATGAGCCCTGGCCGGATGGCTCAGCTGATTGGAGCATTGGTCCCATACACCAAAATGTCATGGGTTTGATTTCCAGTCAGGGCACATACCTAGGTTGTGGGTTCAGTCCCCAGTTGGGGTGCATATAGGAAGCAACTGATCACTGATCAGTGTTTCTCTCTCACATCAATGCTTCTCTCTATCCTCAGCTGAGGATTTAAAAAAACAGAGAGAGACACGAGAGTGAAATAAATGTATCATATTATTGGACATTTGTTTTTTGAAAACATATTCAAAAAAGGAAAAAGAAAAGAAGAAAAGGATCAAGAAAGGAAATGTGGTAAAATGTAGATAATCATTGAATATGCCTAATAGTTTTATAGGAGTCCATTAAACTGTTCTCATTACTTGTGTACATGTTTAAATTTTTTCATAATATTTTTAATCTTTAGAATTCAGTAGTTATTACCAGTACAATCCAATAAAATTAAATTGCAATTAATAAAATTAAAATTAAATTAAAATTATACACACACGTAATTTAAAATTTTCTAGTAGCCACATTTTAAAAAGTACAAAGAAACAGAAGAAATGAATTTAATATTACATTTAATCTAATACATAAAAATATTTTCATTTCAACATGCAGTTAATACAAAAATTATTAATGAGATCTTTTACATCCTTTTTTCATATGTCCTCAAAATCCAGCACATCTCAGTTCCAACAAGCTACATTTCAAATGCTTAAAAGCCACACACGGCTATGCCCAACAAAGGCACACTGTTTGGACTACAGCCTAAGCTTGACTCTTAATGAATTGTGTTCACTGGTCACTGATTCAGGATATTCCTAGCCAGTGAGTTCTACCAGAAGGTTAAATGATCCCTGCCTTTGCCCTGAATGAAAATAAATAAAGATACTATTGAAGCACCTGAAAGGACAAGGTGCTGGGATTTGGGGAAAGTTTCATGTCTGTGTTTGAGCCTGCTTGATGATAACTATATCTGTGTCAAAAGAAAAAGGAAAGTGAATACATTAGAAAATACGGGTATTTTAATACAGGTATCACAGAGAAGGAAAAGAACGAAAACTGGGTACCAGAGCAGAAGCAAAGAAGACATTAGCATGCATAAAGAGAAAGGAAGATGCTTCACAGACTCACAGAATCCATGGAAACCAATGAAACAATCACAAAGAATAGAGCAGAGGCCCAAACATAAATTTTGTTTCATGATCTCTCTAGAGGACAATGTTAAAGACAAATTTTGTTGTGCAAGAGATGACTGAAGCCAGGGAAGTCTAAGCCATTGAGATGACTGCCAAGCATGTCTTTCCAGAATCAAAGCTGGGATTCTGAGATTATTCCCAAGCCTTGCCAGGGTACCTTTTATTACCTACCCTTTGCTTCCAGATAACACACACACACCCACACACACACACACACACACACACACACCTGGTCCTGTGTGTTTTCAGTTTCTCTCGCTTGAGTTGCTCATACAACACAGGCATCATCATTGCTGCTCGAAGTTTCCGACGATTTAGGTCATCAAGTTCCCTTTTATAGGCCCGCCTCTTCACAATTTTTGAGTTTCTAATCATTATCTGCTTCATCAGTTGTGTGTTGGAAGGAAATGGCAATGCTGTACAGCAACAAATAAGTATTTGAGTCAGGAAATTTCCGTTTCCTCATCTTGCTTTCCCATCAGTGCCAGTCCTGCACCCCAACCCCATCTGACCTCTGCCCACCCTACACCCTGAGACTGGAAGGTAAGATGCTGAAAAATACCAGTGCTGCTGCCTCATCTATTCTCAGACAGAAGAGACAAGCTGGAGTTGGAAGGAGAGAGATAATACCTTTAGCTTTCAGTTGAGCCTCAAGGTAATTGATGGAATCATGGGCATTAAGGAATCTGAATGGAAACTGCCGACTGTGGATTATAGACTTCTGGAAAGCAAGAGAGGGGTCATGAGTATGAGGGGCACTAGGAGCCTCAGTGACCAGGAACTTGACATAATCACTCCAGATTTGTGGGAAGGTAAGGAAAGACAACATGAATATTAGAGAAGAGATACAGAGAAAGGGAGAGAAGATTCAAAAGAAAGGCATTATGTGAGAATATGAGAAGAGGTAAAGAGGGAGAGGAAGTAACAGAAGGAGCTGTCTTTGTTTTATAATAGACCTCCTCTGAAGTCAGTTAAATTACAGAAGTGCCTCCTCCTAGTAAGTCACTGATCTCAGAAAATAAAAAGGAAAGTTCTAACTTCTCAAAGGGTTGGTGAATCCCCAGACCTATCTTCCCCCACCTATCTGTATCTGCACACCTGTTTTCAGCCCACATGGAAATAGCTTGGCAGCCATAACCTTCCCCAGCCACTAGGAAAAGGCTGGCTTTAAAAGCTGCAGCAGCATCTCCACACCCACCTCTAGTGGCTGGGCCACCCAGCTCCCTGTCCCTCACAAATACCGCTTGCTGGAGTCTCTGCAGTACAAGCTCGTGGTGGCGGGCACTGATCCCAACCCGCAGCAGGTTGCACAGATTCCGAAGCATGGCCATGAAGGGAAGCTTGCCATTGTCTGTGGGAGTGGGGCAGAAGGTGAGAAAAGCAAGCAAAGGATGAGTGAGAGGTCAGTGACCAGAGCAAGAAGTTCAGAGGTCATGTAGAAAATTCAAGATAAAGGGAGTGAGGTATTAACATATTATCTATCTGACTCAAAACGTTTTAAATGTCTGCAAAGAAAAAAAACATGGTTGGCCTGAAGTTCAGAGCAAAATTTATACAACACTGTTTATGGGATGGCTGTTTCAGTAAACAACTTATGTTATCATTTTGTCTATTGGCTCCAGCCCTGAGACTGGGGTCAACTAACAAACTATATTCTCTAATCTAGAGTACTGATTTCCAAACTTTTTAGATAGCTAAAAGAGAAATTCCCTAGTGTGAGATTTGTTTAATTCATAAATTGTATACATGTAGTACAATCATTAGTTAATATTTCAAGGCACCATATACACATAAGGAAAGGCTCATTATGATGGTGAGTATAAATCCCTATTTCAAATAGTCATCTTGATATTTTTTAAGTTTTCTGGCAAACTTCTTGTAAGGACTGATTAAATGTTCATTATTTTTCACTATGTACAGGTGAAAAAGACTTACAGTAAAGCACAACTTCACCTCTGTCACTTGCTTATTGTTCACTTGTCCCTGTGATATTACTATTATCTTCAAGTCATAATTTCTGAATAATAACTTTTTAAGGCATGTGTCATTTTTAGAGGGTTAGTTTGGTTAATAATGAATAATAATTCTAAATCCATTTATGATTCAAAGATAAGTTGCAATGTCACGTTACATAGAAACCAAAAAAAGAGGGCTGGGGCACCAACAATGCCCTCATGTTGTGGACTCCTCCTCTTCCTCAATATACCTCAACCCTCATACACGGTACACCATACGGACTAAGTGACTAGTATAGATTTAAAAACTCTTTCTATCTTTTATATAAAGGTAAATATAAGTTGTGTGATATTTTTCCTGGGGAGCCCCACTTTAGAGACCAGGCCAGTCACTCCCAAACCCACATCCCATGCACTAGCCTGCACTCACAAGCAGCTTTCATCAGGAGAATAGAAAAATAAGGTTGTGTACACAGTATGTGATGTGTGCCAACTGATGAACTATTGTATCCTTTGTAAAGTCATAAATTTTTATCAATTGCTGCTATGTATGAAAGGCTTTCTAGATCATTTTGATAAGAACTTAAGTCCAAGATCATATTTATGATACTAGAAAATAAATTGAGTATTTATCCTATAGACTGAGAAATTCACTGATTTTATTCCAAAAAAATTGCTAATAAGTTAATGAACCAGTGGTATCCCAAGAGGGGCTGTATATATAATTACATTTTATCTTATATTTTATACTGATGTTGATATATTTTAATATTATATTTACTTATATTTATTTTCACATATATTTCAAATAATTGTATTTTATATAATTCTCAAAGTACATTAATTTATTAGTATATATACAAAAATTTTTAAAATACAGATTGGGGCAAAAGTAGGTTTACAGTTGTTCATATGGAAAATAATACAATAATAAATAACAATACAAAAATAAACTCTGTTTTGTGTACTCACAACCACAAACCTATTTTGCCCCACCCTATATGTATACATATATTCTGCCATATTCCAAAAATTTTTTGCAATATATGACTAAAAAAAAAACTCTGGAGACCAGTGGGTTGGACTATGGGCATTTGTTTCAACCAAGAAAAATGACAGTTTTCATTTTCAGAGGCAGACAGAGAAAGCGGAGATGATACACACTAGAATCATCTGCACATAAAGGCTGCCATCCAGGCCTCTTTATTCGACTCCACCCAAAGTTGAGTCAATATTGGGGAAAAGATTGTCAGGCACATGTGTGTTTTAATTCCCATGTGATTCTGGCGTGGACACCAGTGACAATCACAATGTGAGAGGAATGCTAAGCAGCTGAGCAATTCAGATGACCCTGAGTATAATCTATAATGACAGTTCACAGAGAAATAAGGTAAAAGCCAACATGGTCTTCTAAAGCTCTAAAATGTGAAGTCTACAAAATTCAAGCAGACAAAAGGTCTAGTTAGATATTTTTCAACAGAAAGAAGTTGACTTTAAATTTTCTAAGATGAAAGAAGTAAAAGAAAACAAAATAGAATAGAAAGAGCCTTCTATAGTTAAAAATAAACAACAAAAAAGAAAACAGAGAAAGAGAAGATTGAAAGTAACCTGTTCCTCCCTGATTTGAAGTTTTTAAAATCAATATGGGCATATTATCTAAAATGTCCATGTCCTAAATATAAATTTCTGTGGAGATTCCACTATGCCATGTGCCAGAAAGTTCCTACCTTATCTGGATGAGTTACACAGATATTGCTACAAGCTCAATCAGAGAGAAGGTACCACTTTTGTCATGTGTTGATAAAGACTTGTATATATCACCTAACTGCGTCTGGAATAACTATCTACCTACAAAGCCAATGTCACTGAAAGCAAGCACCACTGCCCACTTGGGTATAGTCAATGGCAGACCTTGTAAGTCCAATCACCAAGCAACAAAATAACTGCATCATGTATGAAAATCCTCTAGTCCAAAATGGAGAGACATAAATGGGGAAGAACATAAGGTGTGATGGTCAAGGTTACTGTACCAATAAGTTCCTCCCAGACAGAAGCTTTGTTCCCCCGTAAGCTCAGCTCCCGTTCCCATGTCTCTGGCTGAGACAGCTTCATCCGCTTCCCAGCTCTGCTAGAATCCCATGGTCCAGGGAGGCGACTTCGAGAAAAGGCCTGTAGGTTGGATGGGTATCTGGAACAGAGGAGGAAAAGCTTATCATTTCAAAGCCAGCTGAAAATAACTCAGAAAAGGAAAGGTGAGCCAGTCAAAGCTAGTCAGTCATGTTTAAGGCCATGTCTGCCCAAACTAATGTTGTTGGGGAGAGAACTACAGGGATTGGGGCCATGGGTGCTGAAAAGTCACGGAGTTGCCCAAATGGAACGGACGTTCAGGGTGTATCTTCTCACCTGTAGCCCAGCAGAGAGTGCACAAGCTGGGCAGGCTCCTGGATATGCAGGCGCTGTACCAACTTCTTCAGGGTGAACCTTGGTGGCTTCTTTTTCTCTGGCACTGCACTGTAGGTCTTCTCAAACTGTGGAAATGTCCCCAAATCCCACAGGAGCCATTTAATCTGTGATCATGGTCACTTTTTTTAGAAAGCAGAACCTAAGACCATCCTATACCTCTGAGATCATTTCCTTCCCCAAAGTAGATTTGGGCAAATAGTAGGAATGGGGGTAAAACTCTTTAGCAACAAGAACTCTAGTGGCAAGCATAAGCTAGCAGTGTTTTTGGGTCACTGTGTTTTATTTACACAAGACTGAACTATCAATGGTAAAATGGAGTGATTGCCTTGTGAAAAGCAAGATGGGAGAGAACACCTTCTTTTCAGAGGGAGGAAGGAGAAAAGTGGCTCTTATTTAAATCACGGAGACTTGGAGCAGGTAAATGGAGGCATTAGAACAATGCGGGTTGTGAGGAGTTAAAAAACTGAAAGAAGTTGCCCTGACCAGTATGGCTCAGTTGGGCAATGTCCGGGAAAGTGAAAGGTTGCTGGTTTGATACCCGGTGGGGGCACATGCCCAGGTTGCAGGCTGGTCCCCCATCAGAGTACATACAGAAGGTAATCGAGTCGATGTTTCTCTCTTGCATTGATGTTTCTCTCCCTCTCCTTCTCCCCACTCCTCCTCACTCTAAGAATAAATAAATAAAACCTTAAAAGAAAAACTGAAAGAAGTTGCTTTTCAGAATCTTCTGTGGTGGAAGAGCTAAGTTTGGGATGTATTATTAGGATGAAGAGAAAAGATCAGCTGACCAACTGAGAATGTGCCTTCTTATAATGCCTATATTTTCCTAATCTCTATTTTAATGATGATGATGATGATAGCTCACACTTATTCAGTGCCAGGTACTGTTGGCATTGTTAGAAATACCAAAAATATAATAACTGATTCAATCCTCACAAAAACGCAACGAGATAGGTACTACTATTATCTCCATTTACATCTGAGGAAACTGAGGCAAGAAAGGGTAAATCACTGGCCCAAGTCAGGTAGCCCGCAAGTGCTGGTGGTGGTGGGATTCAACCCCAGTCAGAATCCAGATTCTATGCTCTTAAACACTAAGTGCAATGACCTGTTTGTTATTAACGCAAAAAAATTTTTTTGCTTTGTTTTTAACACTTCCTATGGAAGGTAAATATTTCATGTCTTTAACTCATTTATCCAGGTGGATATGCCATGGCGGGGTGGAGAAGTAGCCTTTCCCGGTGCTTTCAAAACCAGATCCTATAATCACAACAGAATTTCCCAGCTAGAAAATTGGCATGTGCCTATCATATCCACAATCAGTATTTCTTTTTTTAATGAAGATTTTATTTATTTATTTATTTTCAGAGAGAGAGAGGAGGGGAGGGAGAAGGAGAGGGAGAGAAACATCGGTGTGTGAGAGAAACATCGATCAGTTGCCCCTTGCAAGCCCCCAACTGGGAAACAGTTCTGCAACCCAGGCATGTGCCCTGACTGGGAATCAAACTCGCGGTTTGCAGGATGATGTTCAACCCACTGAGCCCCACCAGTCAGGGCTCCACTGTTAGTATTTCTAAACCAAATGGAATTACATTTCTAGGTGTTAGTTGAGAAAAGATTGTACATATACATATGGAACCCCAGAACAAGGTACTCACCTTCTCCTGTTCAGTTTTAAGAGGCTGAAGGTACCTTGGAAAATATTGCTTTGTCTCAGAAAATGGACACTCCTCCTTCTGTTGGGACAGGAGAAGCATTCAAAAAGGGAAATGGACAATCCCAATTCCTTGGAGAGATCCATTCCAACAGCCCCAAAGGCCCATCTCTATCAAAAAGGAAGCCGGCTAGGAAAGAGGCAGACCCTGCCCTCTCTGTGCCCTGAGCTCTACCTGGCTCCTTTGCATTTTTCTGACTCTGTTCCTGGTGGTAGGAGCATTTCAGATGCTCAGTGTGGGGTCCCCCAGGGTCAGCATGTTCCTTCATTCCTCCCTTTCCAGAGAAAATGGACCAGGGCAATAAAAGACCAGGGTTGAGACAGGGACTGACCGGAGGGCGAGGGGGTCGGTGGGGGCATCTCTTGGCCCGGTGCTTCCGAGGGTTGTACTTGGCCAGCTGGTACTCATCAAAGTGGGTGAATTTGTCGGTCATAGCAGCACGTAGGCAGGCAGGCAGAGACACCAGCTTGTCCCCCTCTCCTCCAGCCAGGCTCTGTCAGAGAGAGAGGAAACCATCAGGAATGAGACAGATACAAGCCCTCCCAAACAAAACAAGACTCTTCACAGAGTTAAATCAGAATAGGGATTGAGTTCTCAGCCCCAGCTCTAAAATTACAGTTTCTGTGTTATTGGGTCTGTCAGTACACTTCTATGAGTCTCATTTTCTTCATTGTAAATAAAAGGTCCAGAATAAAACCAATTTTTCTCAAGCTGAGGTCCAGCCCTTCTCAGTTTGTATTCTTTCTGTTGGGCAACCCAACTTTGTACAGGGAGATGTTATCCTGTCTGGGCGTCAAGGTAGAGGACAGCAGAGGGGAGCCCAAACTACCTTGAGAATTTTCTCCAGGGATGCAATGAGCAACTCACATGAAGGCAAAAATTCAGAAAAGTGAGTGTCATACCTGGTAGACCTCAGCTACCTGGATCCAATCAGAAGGCAGCTGGACAATGGCACAGAAATATCGTCGCAGGTGGGGGCGGCAGTCTGGCAAGAAGGCAGCAATGGCTAACACTTGGTTGGCCACATCCCGCACGTTCAGCTGCTGCCTGGCGTACAGAGATGCCTAGGGAACAGGGAGGAGAGGGTTGGTAGCTCAGCCACTTCTCCCAGACCTTCAAGCCCTAAACGAATTTATATATTTAATCTACCCGCAAAAAACTTTCCCTGAGCCCTCCATTTGGTCTATAATCTAGACGGTATCTAGTCAATAATCTAGTCAATATCCACCTTCATTTGCAGCATGTCTTCCGGGTCTACTAATCACCTCCCAAGTCAACCAGGCCCTTTCCCTCTTCAGAAGACCTCCCACCACCATCGTCTTCCAAAGACTTACCCTGGATTCAAAGTGCTGATGAAATCTGACATCTTCCAAAGTCTCAGAGAAAACATTTCCCCCCTCTTCTCTACTTTTGAAACAGTCACTTATCTACGATACCATTTGCATTTACATATTTGGAAGTGTTTAGCTAACCCAGCAATTCCATAAGCTCGTTAAGAGCCAGATCATGTTTCATTCTGTTGATATGACCCTCAGGATACTGTGTACTTAGACTGTGTACTTACTAAACAAATGAACACTGGTTATCTCCTTCCCAATCCCACCTTCCCCACTTCTCAGAGAACCAGGCCATAGACTCACCCAGAGATCCTATTCCCTTCCCAAAGTGAAGCTCCTTCCACCCACAACACAAAGCTGGTCACCATCCCCCTCACACACTATAAGCACATTCTCGAGCTCCCAGCTTCCCAGTCCCATCCACTCTCAAGTCACAATACCTTGAGGATAAACTCAGGCTCCAGTGGGGCAAGTTCAGTACAAACTTCCAGTAGGGAAGTCTTTGCCCACTCGACTGCATCTTTCTTGTTTGCATTTGATACCACAGTGGAACACAATAAGTTCATTAGAGCCATCTGGGGATTGAGAAAGAGAGGGAAGGAAGGAGGAAAGAGGTATAAGAACAAACTTAAGCATCCCACAGGCCAACTTACAAAATCAAGGACAGAGAGAATGGACCCCAGATTCAGGAAGATGTTTATTCAACCAAGGGGTTAGAAAAGGGGATTAGAAAGTGCTGGGTAATGCCCCCTCCCTCTGGTTCAGCCTTTGAGCACCACTCCTCCCACCCATGCCCTTCCCTCCACCACCATCAACCTCTTCCCCACTCTGGAACTTTTACCTTCTTTTGCTGAAGAACCTGAACAGTAGGCTCAGACCAAGACCCGGAGTCCCCAGAGGCGAGCTTCAAGGCCAGGTCCTCTACCTCCTCCTCCTCTCCGAAGCTTAGACTATAAATAGGCATTTGAGCCTCTGCCCATTTCTTCTCTTCTGAAGAGGACCAACAACCCTGGGAATAGTGGCAGTTATTAATTACAGACCTTCAAACATAGATATGAAAGCAGCTCCCCGGGACAGGAAGCATCTGCATCTAACTTCTAGCACCTGAACTCCTCTCCCTTCGCACCCAGCACCGATCTGTCCTGTGTGATATAGGGATTTCTCACTGTCACACATGCCACCTTTCTGGACCTAACCTTCTGAGCCTTTGCTCAAGTGTTTTGTGATCCCCCTGCTTTCATCTCTTTACTGACGTCACGGCCTAAAAGCCTGGGGCACCCCCTACAACACACTTCCTTTGATGCTATTAAAGTATTTTGGAGTCAAAAGAAAAAGGGCCACATCCCAGGTCAATCCCCCAGCAACCTTGGGCTGCTTACCCTCTGAACCTCAGCTTCCTCTTCTCATTCCCTACCACCTGCCTGATGGGCTGTTAGATTAAGTGGGTTAATGCATGTATGACTCTTCACACATTGCAAAACCCTAAAGAAATGTAAGATGGCAGTAATTGTAATCCTGACAATGACTCTGTGAGGTAGATTTTCAATTATCTCATGTTAAAGATGAGGAAATTAGCCCTGTGTGGTTCAGTGGATTGAGTGCTGGCCTGTGAACCAAAGGGCATCTGCTTAGGTTGCCTACTGTGTGCAAGAGGCAACCAGTCAATGTATCTCACACATCAATGTTTCTCTGTTTCTCCCTCCCTCCCCCTCTCTCTACAAATAAATAAATAATATCTTTTTTTAAAAGACAAGGAAATTAAAGCCTCAAAAGGTGAATAGTTTTGCCCAAGGTTAGGCTTTTGATTGACAAGATAGGGCTCAGATTAGTCTTTCCCTCAGTCCAGGTCTGGAGGCTATACAGAGGAATGTGTGATTATATACTGATTCTTACCTGTATACTAAATGTGCTCATATATACCCATACAAGTAAACATGTGCTTGTACAGACAGTGAGAGGTGACTGGGCCAGGGTATAGCAGATATGTCTCATGCCTGATATAAGACCTCAAAAGCACTTGATTGGTTATGCTACTGCAACATCTTGATGGCTCCCTTCCTGAGCAGAGGTGTTCTAAGGACAGGGCCTGTTTTTGTTCTATTGTCCAGAATGTCTGAACTAGGTATGTAATGAGAGTAATGATGCAAATGAAGACAGCCCTGGGCTAAAGGGAACCTCAGGAAGAGGTTTTGAGGAGAAGAGCTACACAGCACAGAGCTACACAGACAGACACTGGGGCACTGAAAGCTAGGGACTAAAGAATCCAACAGGCAGGGCTGCAGTCAAGACAATGCCTGGAGCCATTACCAAAACTGTTTCCTGAGCTCTCTCTGTGGCAGAGATGGATTCCAGGGCCTGGGGGCAGGTCAGAAGGCCTTGTCCCTCGGAGAGACACTGAGCCCTCCAGGTTGGAGGCTCAGAGAGCAGGTGGTTGTTGGTGTTCAGGCTGCACTGATCAGCTTGAGCCAGTTGAGATATCTGGAGATGCTGGAGCAAGTGGCTGGCAGACATAGTGCTCTTTAGAGTGGGTAGTGTAGCCAGGCACCGGTTCTCCAAGGAGAGGATGTCCGGGTGGGCAGACACATGCCCATGTGGTTTCTCCATGGTCTTCAGGTCAGGAAGTGTGGCCAGGCACTGGTTCTCCAAGGAGAGGATGTCTGGGTGGGCAGACACATGCCCATGTGGTTTCTCCATGGTCTTCAGGTCAAGAAATGTGGCCAGGCACCGGTTCTCCAAGGAGAGGATGTCCAGGTGGGCAGACACATGCTCATGTGGTTTCTCCATGGTCTTCAGGTCAGGAAGTGTGGCCAGGCACCGGTTCTCCAAGGAGAGGATGTCCAGGTGGGCAGACACATGCCCATGTGGTTTTTCCATGGTCTTCAGGTCAGGAAGTGTGGCCAGGCACCGGTTCTCCAAGGAGAGGATGTCCAGGTGGGCAGACACATGCCCATGAAGTTTCTCCATGGCTGGAGCCCAACCAGTATATCCTAGAATGAGAGAAAGACAGGTGATGAACACCTGGCTGCAATGGGAGTATATCTTTCCTATAGCCTTCCTGGTAATGCCAGTGACCTGCAGGCAGAGAACAACTGATATTTTTTTCCAGGCCTGGGTTCATTATAAGGATGTATTCAGGGAGTATTCTACAGAAAGAATACAGGGAGTATTCTAAAGGAGAAGAGTAGTGAAAGGTAAGGAAGAAGCTTAAGGGCAGGGAAGTTGTTTTTTGTTGTTTTTTTCTTTTTAAAAGGACGTGTCTTTTGATGATTGGGTAAAGGAGCCCCCCAGGGCAGTGGTGTGGTCTCAACTTAGTTCAAAGACAACATTTGTAACCTGGACTCTGGATTCTTAGCTCCAGAAAAACATTTTGATCAGGCTGTCCATGTTCACCACCCCAACTTCCTTGCCTCCCACTCACTTCAACCAACTACATGGGATTTTGTCCCCACTACTCCTATCCTCTTAGGTAACTAATGAAATTCTTGTTACACAAGAACAGACACAGCTGGGAACTTATTTTACTTCAACTCTCAAGTACAATATGATACTCTTGATCGTTCACTCATTGAAACTCTTTTCCTTTGGTTTCCATGGTGCTACTTTCCTGGTTTTCCTTTTTTAGTTTATTTAGTTCATTAGATTCCACATGTAAGTGAAATGGTATGGTATTTGTCTTTCTCTGATTGGCTTATTTCACTTAGCCTAACACCCTCTAGGTTCATCCACGCCCTGATTTTTCTCTTACAGCTCTGACCACATCTCCTTGGGGGTTCCTTCTCACGGTACCGAGCCCAGCCATTCCTTGAATGTTAATGTTCCTTAGAATTCTAATCATTCTGTATACTCTCCCAACATGATCTCACCTAGTCTGTGGCTCCAAATAATATTTCTATGCTGACAACTCACAAATTTACTCCTTGAGCTTATGGACAGGAATGCAGTATATGTCCAAGGAGATCTGAATGGATTGACAATCCAGGACCAGAAAGGACAATGGATAGCTCACTGGACAACAGTGTGGGCAGATTACACCAAGAATGATGACCTTTGAGCCCTGTATACTTCTTTCATATCTTTGTACTATATAAGCCCCCAGGGAAAGGAGTGGGGAAATCTCAGAATTAACTCAAGATTTTTTTTAAAGTCTCAAAAAAAAAATTAAGTTAACAGAAAAATACACTTAAATATTTTTCAGACCCTGGAATTTGTGAATGGACATTCAGCTGTGAAGAACAAATGAAAAGTCCTCACCCCCCCATCTCTAGTTCTATTCTCCAGGGATAAATTGTATATGAATAGTTTCAGACACTTTCTAGGCATGTACAAATATATGTATATGCCTCCTCCCTCTTTTTTTTTCTTTGCTTTACACAAAGAGGATCATACTTTAGACACTATTCTGCACTCTACATCTCGGAGATCTTGTTGTGTTAATACATTAATACCCACCTCACTTTTACAAAAGTTGGCTGTATGCTATTCTATCCTGTTTAAGCACAGCGCGGGATTCTGTTATTACAAACAGATTCTGCTCATACCACTTTGGGACATCTACTCTCTCCTTCCAAGGAGCTCACAGCAAGGATGTAAGGGAGACTGATTCTCTCCAACTTGGTCTCTTCCTCCCAGTTCTGCGTCCTTCTACGCCCTGCCTCTTCCCTTCCCGGCTGGCTTTCTCATCTGGCCTTCTCACTGTCCCTTTTACACGCACACACTCCCCTCCCGGACAGACACACGCGCACACACACACCCTGTCCTGGAGCTGCGGAGAGGAGCCGAGCAGACGCATCCCACTGGCGTCCGCCCCACGGTACCGAGCCCAGCGCCCCAGACCCCGGAAGCGGGCGGCTTCTACCTGCGTTCTCACCCTCCCCGGAGCGAGCCAGCCGGGACTGGAGAGGCTGGCTGCCCTACCCCAACGCGGGGCTTGCGGGGCTTGCGGGGCTTGTAGGTTCTCGGCAACAGGAAGCAGCAGACCCGCTCTCCGCCCAGCAAGTCGGAAGAGGGGGAGCCGGGAGCGGGAGGAGGAGCCCGGCGGGGCGCGGTGAGCGCACGGCGCGGGCGGAGACCCGGCTGGAGCTGGCCGCAGCTGGGGGTTGCAAGGCCGGATCCGGGCGCCGCCCACTGAGACCGCAGAAGCCCGGCAGGAGGTGCCAATGCTCGGAGGGCACGAAGCCTCTTCTCAGGCCTGAGTTTGGTAACCCAAACCCCACTTTTTCCTCTTCCTGGACCTTCTTTCTCCTGTCTGTCAGGCTCCCCTTTCTACCAAGGGCCTCTCTTTTCTAAATTTCCTCTCCTTTCTCCTGTTGTATCTTCGAACACTGTCTTGAAAAAGATTTTTATATATTCCCTGCCTGTCAGGACACCTTTTTGCTTAGGGTCAAAAGTACTTGGACTCTTAGCTCATCCAAAATTTACTTTGTGAAAATAGAAATAAAAGGAGACGGAATATGGTGTTATTATGGCAGGGTGGAGTCAGAGCAACCCGTGTGCATCTAGGGGAGATGCGTGGATCACAAAGAATCTATTTGGAGCCGTTCTGAATGGCTAATGTGAGCCGTTTCCCAGAAGGTGTGACCAGGCTCAGGACAGAGACCAACGACCTACCGGTAGGATGGTAGTGCTAGTGTTCTTTTATAAAGAGCTGCGCCAAATAGATAGTAGCAGAAGAAATATGCTTACCTCGTGTAAAATAGATTATCTGTCATCTGGGAAATATCCCTTTACTCAGGAAAATGTCCCTTTGGTTAACGAGGTACCCTTCATTCCCTGGTAACAGCTAAGCTTCAGCTCAGCATTGGGACCATCCAATTCATTCAGCCAGATTCCACCTTCCTTCTTAGATGTCTCCTTTACTTATCCACCCCATCAGTCTCAATACGCCCTTTTTATACCAAGTATTTATGTACCATTATCCTCCTGAACTAAAATTCATAAGTAATGTAATTTACCTATATACACAACTTTTTCAAGTAACAAAATAGCCTAAAGAGATAGAAGGGAAGGTAAAAGGGACATGGTTTATTACAAACTACTATGTGTATAATGTTTTGACATTATACAGGACACAGTGTGGTGCTCAGAGGCATGCATCTCTATGGATAATTGTCTTAAAAGCACCATGAATAGAGTTACTTATGTGCCATGATTTTCCAAAAATTATCAATACTTTTTGGCAGGTTTTCTAACAAAACAAAATATGATCATCCCATGATATTCATGGTGGTTGCAGCTCTGGAAAGTTCAGTATATATTAAACAATGCCTAAAATGCCTTGTGTTTTTATTTAAAATTCTTAGAGCCTAATTACAGTGGATTTTGGGCTACATGTGTGACTGGCAAGTCATTCAGGGTTGTCAGAGATGCAGGAATGTCCCGCATTGTGTGGGACAGTTGCTGAGAGCATAGCAATCTCAGACCCTGTCCCTGTTCTGGGAGCCCCCCCAACCCACCCCATCCCCCAAAAACAGCTTCCACAAATTTCTGAACCACCCCCTAAGGGGCAGTAGCCCTTGGAGGTCTGTCTGTAGAGGAAGAGGAGGAGTTTGAGTGGGAACACAACACCTAGAACACCTGAAAGAAGAGGCTGTGCAAGGCAACTGGAGGAGGGGCATATCGATGAGAAGGAGATAAGAAGAGAGGGGGGTCTACTTAGGACTTTACTTCCAAAGTCCTAAATCTGTAAAGCCACTCTTGAGGTGAAGCAGCTTTTCTTCAGATTACTATCATTGATTCAATCAGGGAGTTTTGTCAAATAACTATACCAGGGTTGAGGAGACATTCTGTTTCTCACTGGAGTAACTCTCCTGGAGCTTATTTTTCTTACTTGCAAGTTCTTAAATTCACTTTCTCCTTCATACACAGCTCACACCCCAAATTGTTGATCAGTAGCATTGAGCTGCAATGTCTAATTGGTGAGTGTAGTGTCCAGACTGGTTCTTTCTGGGGCCAGGGATGCCATCCCCTCAGCCCATAGAAGCCCCTTTATTGAGGGCCCTACTGCCCATTAAAATTGCTCTCCTCTTTTAATTGCACATTTCTTATCCTCCCCCACTTTGATTCAACAAACATCTGTTAAGCACCTATCAGGTGGGAAGGATAGTGGGTAAATGTATAAAACATGCCTCTTTCTGAAGCCTTCATGGTGTCACAAAGAAGACAGACATATGCAGAAGTCACAAAAATGCATGGTGGCATACAAGAAGTGCTATATTCCACTAAAGTACAAAATACAGGGTTATGTGAGGGAAGGATATTGACCAACTTCCTGGAGGGATAAACTTTGAACTGGGATGGGCAGGCTTCTGATAAGAAGTGGAGAGGAGAGTGAGAGCCTGGGGAATATAAAGGCTAATAGTTCTACCAGGATTTTTTTCCCCCTTTGTGAATAATTACCTTTAGATTCATAGCTTATGTTTCTGTTCAGTCTAACCACTGCCAACTTCAGAACTTTGCACAAGCTGTGATACATGGACAAGTACTTAGTCAGTAGTACTTGACATCTCAAAGGAGCCCTTCTGTGTCATCAGAAAGCCCCAGAAGCCAATTAGCACATTATGTAAACTTCAAGGCCATCTCCCTTCTGATTCTTCTGACTCAAAACAACCCTGCATTTTGTCTCTGGCCTGCTGACATTTCCTAATATCTCCCTTCACCTTCCTCCAAGGGTTGTGTTCCCTTGTGAGCCCTCCTTCCCTGACTAGTCTTCCTTACCAGATGTGGTCGATTAAAGGAAGCCACATAGTCTTTGCTTCTCTTCCCATTGAAAAGTGGAGTCTGATTTTTCATTTCTTGAATCCAGACTGACCTAGAGACTTGCTTAACCAATATACTGGCAGAAGTGACATTCTGGGACTTCCAAGGCTAGGTCAAAGGAAACTTCTTGGACTTTCCACTCAGGTTTCCAGAATACTCCCTCTGGGAGCCCTGAAGCGCCAAGTAAGTCCAACTACCCTTAGATTGCTTTGCTGAAGAGGCCACATATAGGTGCTTCAGTTAGTCTTGGCTTTCTAGCCACCCCCACCAGGGCACCTGACAGGTGAACAATGCTGTCTTGGGCCCTTCAGACCAGCCCATCTATACCAGTTTAGTACAACCAAGTAATTTCCATCAATGGACATGGAACAAAAGAATCATTTAGCTGAAGCCTGCCTAATTTAAGTGAAAACAATGATGCATAAGATCATGAGAGATATAATAAAATGATTGTTATTTTAAGTCATGAAACTTGGGGCAGTTTGTTATGCAGCATTAGATAACTGGCACAACAGACCTGCAACATTGCACACTAGTTTACACCAGTAGATTACCTTGTTGTCATCCTACTCTCCTTAAACTTTTCAAGTCACCTAATCCCTAACACACGGGGACTGTGTGATAGTTCCATGTGTCGGAATTGCTTGTTTTGGGAGGTAGGTTAGCTGAGTTAGATGCCAACTTATGTGTCAAATATATTTGGACAAGGAGACTTGTATCCATGGAATTGGTTATACTCCCTCATCATTCATTCAAGGAGTATTTGTTAATTGGTATTGTCAAATTAATTAACATCCGAACCAACCCCTAGGATGTATGCAGTGAAGTCACATGTGCCTAACAGCTGTACAGCCCCAGGTTAGGATCAACAAGTACAAAGAAACACTGTGGTGGCATATAAGGCTCAATACTCCCTCCCACCCTGATTTCCTAGTTATCTGGTTTTTGTACTCAGAGATATGGCCCTATTACTCAGCCCACAGAGGTATTGGGAAGAGGTTCGGACACAAGACAATGAACATATTTAATATATTGTTCTCATATATTCTTCTGTGTTTTACATAAAGTTTTAATATTAGCCTCCATGCCCTCTTGGGACATTTGCTAAAGGGAATTTGTACTTAATAACCACGAAGGTCTAAAACTCAGTCAACAGGTAACTTCAGCACTTGCTCCTTGCATATTAGCAAACATGTGTTTGTACCCGACAAAGTGGTCAGAGGCCATTTGGGGTGGCAACATTGTAGATTTGTAGCCACAATAGAAATGTATCCAAATTAACTGCCAAAGTTCCTATGGCCAGGCACTGTAGCCAACCTCCTTATCAGACCCCTAGCCTCTGGGCTCCCTTTCTTAAGCACACTCTGGGTGCTGCTGCGAGACCTGCTGGGACCTATGCAGTCATTTAGGTGATGAGGGGCTGGTATTGTTGCTTCAGGTTTTGGCCAATACATCAAGAGAAAGTGAATCTACCTGGTCTATAGTGGATGGACTAGAACACACATTTCCATCAGATAATCTCTTAGCACTGCCTCTTGTGAGGACCTGAGAAGAGGAGTTTCATGGTGTGGACTAGTGAGCCTAGGCTCTAAACAGCCCCTGAAGAATCCTGCCCATGGCACGCTAGACACATTTTAGCAGTTGGAGACAAATAGCTATTACCACTTTACTAAGTGCTCATTCGTTTTTCACTGGACAGTTAGTCCAAACGGTTCAAATGACTTTCCCAGGTTGGACAGCTGGTCTCTTGATTCCCAGTCCAGTGCTTGGCCACAGTAGCATCCACTCCCTTTGACATTTTTTTAAAATGTTATTGCCTATATAAGGACACTATCAAAATGGGTTCTTGCCCCAGAAGTCTTTTTCATGAACATATCAAAGAGTATGTCAGCAGTTCACAAGTCCTGGAAGACAGGGCCTGCCTGAGGAGTGCTGCCCTGTGTCGAAGAGTAGACATAATAGGAACCTGATCAGGACACCTGATATCACATAGGATTTGAGTGCTGCTTCTTGGGTAGACAGAGCATTTCCAAGTAAACTTTGTACATAAAAATAGTGGACTTGGGGGAACATTTTAATGGCTGGTAGGAATAATGAAACAAAATATGTGGATTAAGAGAGCCCCAGGAGGACTGGAATACTTGGGCACTATGTTAGAGTAATCTAAAACAGGGGTGGAGATGGCATACTACAGTTTAGTAATTAAGCATGCACTCTGGAGTTCAGCAGATATGTGTTAAAACCTTGCTCTGCTATTGATGAGTTGTGAAATGCTAGGCTGCAGAAGAAAATAAGATAGATAATCTCATAAACCCTGAACAGAGCAAGAGACTGCTGATGTTGATATAGAAAAGAGGCCAGTCACGACCCTTCATTTGAAAAGTTTCACCTTTGCCCTGGCTGGTGCAGCTCAGCGGACTGAGTGCCGGCCTGCGAACCAAATGGTTTGATTCCCAAATTGCTGGTTGGATTCCTGGTCAGGGCATGTGCCTGGGTTGCAGGCCAAGTCCCCAGTAGGAAGCAGTTGACAGGAAACCACACACTGATGTTTCTCTCCTTCTCTATCTCCCTCCCTTCCCCTCCTAAAAATAAATAAATAAAATCTTAAAAGAAAAGTTTCACCTTCCCCCTCATACCCTGACCAGTGTGACTGGTGTGTGTCTCAGTGGGTTGGGCATCATCCTGCAAAGCAAAGGGTCACCAGTTCAGTTCCCATTAGGGGCACATGATTGGATTGCAGGCCAGGTCCTAGGTTGGGGGCATGTAAAAGGTGACCAGTGGATGTTTTTCTCCCTCTCTGTCTCCCTCCCTTCCCATCTTTCTAAACAAAGTGGGGGAAAGAAAAGTTTCACCTCATATATCATATTCATAACAATCCTTGGCTCACACATTCTAGTAAAGAAAACTATTGGCAGGAGGGACCCCTTACTCTGGCTGAGCTTCTTTGAAGTTCACAGCTAGTATGTTATAGCAGTTGGATGTCAGACTCCTCAAGACCATGTTTCTAAGCTTCCAATGCCATTTATACCCTTTAATTGTTCCTACTAGTATGAGTGTCATGAATTAAGGCTACCACCTCCATACAGATGGATCTACACTGGAGAGGTGGCATAATTAAAAAAAAAAAAATTTTAAGTAGGCTCTGAAATCCTTCTACCTGAGTTTAAATGCATGCTCAACATTTACAAAATTCATGACCTTGGGTGAGTAAATTCATTCTTCTAAGCTTCAATTTCCTTATCTGTAAAATGGGGATAATAATAGCACTCACTTTTATAGGTTGTATTGGCATTTAAATAAGATAATGTCTATAAAGCACTCAGCATACTGCCTGGCACATAGCAAGCATTTAAACAATATGAGCTATAACCTATTAAAAAAAAGCAGTTCTTTTGATAGAGTGGGCTTTCATTAGTGAGAGTTTGCTTGAAAAGTATGTATAGGGCTCGGCTTGCCTATGGTGATGAGTCAAGCTGCTGTATAGTTAGAAGACCACTGGCTTCTTAAAAGCTCTGGCCACAGCTGGAGTCCAGCTGAACCCAGGCCCCTATCTGAGGAGCAATGTGAGGCTAGAGTAGCTGGGGATATACCTTGTAAGCCTCTGTGTGGCCCTCCTGGTCTCAGGAGCCTGTCACCATGGCACACTGGCCACCGTGCTTGGCATCATCTAGCTTGCTGACCTAAAGGATGTGGCCTGGGAACTTGACTTACAGACTACCAGGACACAGTTTTCCAAATGTGTCTAGAGGTGCTTAGACTATCCCAAGCTCTGGGCTCATGACTACCGTCATACTATAATGTTTATAGTACAGGTATTATCCCTATTTTGGGGATTAATATACTGGTATTCAAAGTGATTAAGGGACTTACTCACCATTACCCAAATTATTGAACCCAAATTATTGATTCTAATTCAACATACATTTTCAAGCTATATGTACTTTTTTCATTATTCTAATCAGAAATATGGATTATTTTATCTGGAGTCACCAGTGATAATAATAATACCATGAGCTTTTGGCTCTCAGAGAAAAAAAAACTGTAATCTCGCCACTAATAATATATATTACATGTATTCATGAAAATACGTAGTTGTGTGTATGTGTGTATATGGTTGTATTACCAGGAATTTTGATAAATTCACACTTTTCCACCTAAGACCCCTTGATTTCAAGGGCTTGCCAGGATTTGAAATTTAGTCTGTAGCCCTGAAAGAGTAATTGTGACTGTCCTGCCCATAGAGCTCACCTGTGAGGTTTGTCCCAGTCAGCCTCTTGGTCCTTATGTACAGTTACGTGACCTGGAGAATGCACTCATGAAAAGCCTCCCTCTTCATTATTCAGACTGCCACACGCCTTGGCTTCCTATGCTGTATAAGGAAGGGTTCAAAATACATGGACTCCAAAATCTCTGCATTCCACGATTCTATTAAATCTTTCTGTGCAGTTTTTTACTCTTCTGGTAGGACACTGTTGCTTCCACAGCTCAGATGGTCTGTCTGGGTACATAACGGTAGTTGGTTTTGCAGCCAGTAGGACTTTCATGTGACTTTTTTTACCCTCAGGGTTTTTTTTCACTTTTACACGTTTTCTGCTGTCAGTTTTCCAGGTGTCCAGGACATAATACATACAGTGAATCTGACAGAAAATTTTGGGAGACAAGTTAGGTTTCTGTTTCAGTAGTTCAGAATTACATGATGAGTCAAGGGAAGAAAAAGATAAGGGGAGAAGAAACTCAAAATGATTACAAAGATTCATGTCTAGGAAAAAGGGGAAATGATAGCACCAACAAAGCCTAGTGAGTTTGAACTGATGATAGCCGTATGTCCAAGTGGAAGTGAGAGCTGCTGAAAAAAGTTAGCCTTAGAACCCAGGCAAGTCATTAAGCCTTGAGACAGAGGAGAGGTGAGCTTTCTGAAGAGGAGCATGTAAGGCAAGGTAAAAGAAGAACAAGGACAACCCAGAATTAGACATATGAGTCAAAGGGTCATTACAGTCCAACATACTTATGGTACTAAACGTTAACCTGTAAACCCAATCTATCCAGTTCCTGGGTCAATCTTGGAACACGGGAGCAATAACCAAAAGTCTACCCTCACCCACAAAGGAATCTGAAGGAAGAGTGTGGAGGAGCCAGAATGAGAGAATCTAAAACACCTTGGCTCATTATCTCATTTAACAAAGATAAGAATTCTGGGTCTATACACACTCACCAAACTGTAGCAAAATCCCTGGGTTGCCATGATTTCCCAGTCTGTATGAATGGTTTCTGCCTCAATTTCTGACTCTCACTGTACTTCCTTTCTGGGCTCAAAATCCTACCTTGAATCTCAGTGCACTTGCTTAGGGCCCTAATAGGACTATGTCAGGTCCCTCTCAATCAAAAGTGAACCACTGACCAGGGTCCTTTTTTAAATTTTTTTCATGTTTTAAAACTTTTTATTTGCATATTTTAAAATTGTACATTCCAAAAATTAAAATCAGTTTAACAGAAAATAGCATTCTGATTAAACTGTATTTTACAGTCTGCAGGACACCTTGGACCAGCTTGGTTTTTACTCAAGGTTCCACTGTTGTCCCACCCAGCTTCTTCCTCCACCAACATGCAAGTTCTTTTCCTTTCCTGCCAACCAGAGAGGCAGATGGGAGCGGCAGGTATGGGCCTATACTGTCAATAGTTCTCCGATGTGAAAAGGGCAGCACAGTCATTTAAACTGACCCAACCTCTTTGCATCCTATAAAGTTAAACAGCTAAAAGAAGTGAAATAAGAAGGAATGCTTGTGGAATGTATAGTGCATATAGGCGGTGCGGGCCCCATTATGATTCACCTGCTCGCTTCTCCTGTTCAATCATTTCTTTGGAAGGCAATGGATTTTTCTCTTGCATTTCTGCCTTCAATTTTGATTTATTGAATTTCTTAGTCTCAGCCATATCAAGTTTGTCAGATGTAGTTGTGGAGGAAGTGGAGTGAGGTGCGGTGAACTAGAGTAGTCCGATTTTGCTCAGTGACTGCCCCTGAGTCAACCAGGGTCCTTTTTCAGATCAGAGACCTCCTCTTCTCTTCTCACTCCATCCTCAACTTAAAACTAAGTAACAAAAGCCTCTACCACAAACTGCTCCCATCACACCCTTGGCTGTTAGCTCCACCTGGGATGGAGCCATGCTCTCTTGGACATTATGATTTGGCTTTCTGTCACCTCCTTGGATTGGAGAAGTAAGAGAAGGCTGAGGACAGTGTGCTACTTCTGGAGCCAGGGGAGGAGAAATTTTTAGAGTAAGAGCCAGTTTTCAAGCCAGTCAATTCCCACAGAAAGATGGAGAATGAGAATGGCCTTAGAACATTTGATTTGGTGGGAAGTAGGTCACAGTAACAATGAGAGAGGATGGCTTCAATTGTATGATGGAGATAGAAGTCAAATTACAAGGAATTTTAAGTGCTTTTTATAATAAAGAAACTTAGACAAGAAGATTCAATCATGGGGAAACTTTTATTTAAGCCCATTTATGTGTACAGATCATAAAAGAAAGTGTTCACAGTTCACTCTAAAGACTCAGTCCTTATAGTTTCTTGATGCTTCCAATTTCTTTCTTCCCTGCCTTCTTCAATCTTTCTTATTTTCTCTTATATACCTTACTTACCCCTCCTCATTTTCAACTATGTTCCAAACCAGAATTAGGGAAAAAAAACCTTAGGGAAATAATGACACAAAAAATATTTTTCCAAGTACCTCTGGGGCCAGTATGAAGAAAGGTACAAGGGAGGTTCCTTCATCTCACCCTTAAGAGTGTGAGAACCTTAATAAACAATGATAGAAGATTGATCTACGTAAAGAATTTGCCTTTCTTTGCCCTAAGCTGCTCAAGGGTCAGAAATGTAGATACCAGGCAAAGGTTTAGGGTAACTGGGGAGGGAGGGCATATACAATCATTAAGTGAAAGCCATTGTCTTCAGAAAAGCCTCCAGAAAGGCGAGTAGGTTGGCCAGAGCAGCAGAATTCTCTGAAGAACCACTGGAATTTTGACTTCCCCTTTGCTATGGAGACACAGGGCACTACGTTCCCCATTTGCTTCCTTTCTCTGACAGGAATGCCTTCCTCCTTCTCTGACTGGTGAGTCAGATAGCCTTCAAGATCCAGTACACCCATCTGATGATAATGATGTCTTCCATAACAGGAGCCTTCTCTGGGCACAGTTTACTCTGCCACTTCCATCCTCTGGGCTCTCATAGCGCTAGGTACAGTACAATATGTATGAGAGGTAGGAGGTATGAGGCAGTTTACGAGTTGTAAAGCACTTCTAAGTTCACTGAAAAAACTTATATTTGTTTACAAGTCTGTCTGCTGGTCAGGAGTTGTCTGGCTTTTATATCTTTAATGTCTCATATAGTGCCTGGCACACAGTAAGAAATTAGTAAGTGTGAGGGAGAAAGGAGGAGAGAAAAGAAAGAAAAAAAAAAGGAAGAGCAGGGTGGAGGAAGGGAGAGAGAAAGCATCTGACTCAGTGTTCCCTGGCCAAGAAAAAGGGAAATTGATTCAGAAAAGCCTGGAGGAAAGGCACAGAAAGGAGGAAAACTAACTTTCCAGGTCTTCTCTGCCTCTCACTCTTCTTCCTACCACTTCTTCCCACAAGCTCACACAGCTGTCCTCTTCACTCCTAATCCCTCAATTCACCCCACAGGGAAAGAAAGAAGCCAGGCAGGCTTCTGACTTCTCCCACCCCATCCCCTCAAACCTCGTATCATCCCTCTTCCACCACGGCGCCTCCCCACTTTGGCTCTGTCCTCCTCATCTTCCCCACAGGCAGCACTCCCACCTCATCATCCTGGCGTCTTAGGCCCCTGTGCTGTGCCAGGTCCAGGTGGGGACTAGGGCCTCAGACTGAAAACCAAGAGGCTCTTAGGGGCATCCTATGGTGTCTGGGCTGATGAAACACTAGTCTGGACCTACAAGTTACCTGAGAAAGAATATTGTCAAGAGCATTCAGGTGTCCAAGGGACTGGAGGGTAGAGAGCAGCAAAGCCTGGGAAAAGGAAGGGCTCAACAATTACATTCCTCCCTTCTGACTCCTCGGACTCATTCACAGATGGTCTTTCCATGTTTTTCTCCTTGATTCATGGGTCAGAATCATCATTTGTCCAGCTCTCTTCTCATGGCCCCTATACCTTGGCTACTGGAGCTGCTTAACTTGTCTTCCTAGTTAGATGTACTTTTCCCACTAAGAACAGTACCAGGGCCCCTAAATCTTATAGAGTTGCTCCTGGGTCTCCTCTCCTTGTCTAACTATTGAGCTGCTCCCTTTTCTCAATGCCCTTTCGCCAGGAATTCTGGAGCCATCTTTTCTTCCATGGAGATCATATATTCATATATTCAAAAGCAGTTTGAGTTGTAAAGCATTGTACTAAAATAAAATATGTACTATCATGAATAAAGCCTTCTCTTCCTCCTCACTCCCCATCATCTCTGTCCTTTCTCATGATGTGTCTTCTCCTTTCCTCCCCCATCCACTGCTGCTGCTCTCCACCTCACCCAGCAGGTTTGGTTTGGTGCCCTAAAGCTACGTGCTGCACAGTGGGCCGTGTCAGGATGCAGGCAGGCATCTCAGCCCGAGGCCTTGGCAGAGTTCCCAGGCAGAGCCATCGGCCCAGGCCAGGACTATAAGCATGGACAAGGTAAGAGAGGGCATAAGTAAGGTGGCTGTAGCCCCCCAGCACCAGGAGTTCCCCCTGCAGCACGGCACCTGCAGCTCCCACATGTGGGGAGGGCAGGGGTGCCAAGTGAGTCCAACTATCAGTCTTTGGTTCGTAGGCCTCAAAGCTCAGCAGGTCGCCAGTCTCACCTAGCCCACCTGCAACATATAACCGCCCACCCAGAGCAGCCATGACATGGCCAGCTCGAGGTATGCCCATAGGGCTTAGAAGTGTCCCTGGCTTCTCAAGTTTGGGATCATACTGCAGCAATGAGGCCAGGTATTGGCCAGCCCCATTGCAGCCACCGCTCATGTACAATCGGCCCTCCAAAATAGCTGCTGCATGGGCAAAGCGTGGTGCTGGAAGTGCAGGTGCTGGCCTAAGGGAGAACAAGGCACATGATCAGGCAACAGTCATCCTCAATTCTCCTCTTCCAAGTCCCCTAGTCTTTTCCTGATGCCTAGAACCACATCCCCTTCCCTGCTTACCTCCAGACATTGAGCTCGGGGTTATAGGTCTCCACAGAGTTTAGGACAACACCATGGGCTCGTCCACCCAGGGCATAAAGTAGTCCATCCAGTGCCACCAGAGGGAAAAAACTCCGAGCCTGGTACAAAGGTGCCACCTCCTCCCAGTTCTCTTGACTGGGGTCCCACCTGTATACAGTGTGAGAAGAGATGGGAAGAGTGACTTTGGGAGTCTGTGGTTGGCTGGGCCAGCAATTTCCCTCAGCTGCCCACCTTGGGGATCTACCTCTCTTGTTGGAGGGTGCATACCTGAGAGTGGAAGCCAAGGTGTTGAAGTCGCTGTAGTAATCCTGTCCCCCACACACATAGATTTCATTTCCTGCTAGGCTCGCAGCCCCATGCCGGAAGCGCCCTGGGGCAGGTAGGGCAGGCAGCTGCCCCCACTCCACATTCCGAACCAGTCCAATGCCGCAGCGGAAGGCCCGGGCCCACCACACTCCTCGGGAAGGCTGTGTTCCAGACAAGTCTGATTTGAGCCTGTCTCCTCCGATCACCACCAAAGCCTGGTCAGGTTCCCTCCGCCTCTCTCTACCTGGAACCTCAGATTCCACTATCAATTGACGCAGCAAGTCCTGGGAAAGGGGTGGAGGCAGCCCTGCTGCCTGTACTTTCCGAAGCTCTCTGGTGGACATACGGCCAAAGCGGACACATTGAAGCAGGACCTTGGCCTCTGACTCCTGCGTCTCAGGGTTGGCAGCTAGCCAACACCGGGCAGCCACAAAGGCCTCAAATTCCTCTTGCACGTGTAGCTCATCGTTATCCAGGAGTTTGGCCAGGCAAGCAGCTGGTAAAGAAGGGAAAGTGGGGCACAAAGCTACAGCAGGCAGGTGAGTGAGCAGGTATTGATGAGCTTTGCTCCAGAGCCTCTCTAGTCCAGGGGCTTCAGCCATGGGGAAGAGGGCCAGGCAACGGGCAGGGCTGAGGCTCCGTCCCAAAGCTCTCTGGCACAGAGCCAGACAGGAAGAACTCTGGTACTGCAGAGCAGCCTGGGCAGCTCTCAGTAGTCCTGGCCATCTTGCCTGCACAACCCCAGAGTAGGCAAAAGAGACGAGGAGTCGCAGGTCCTGGGCAGAGATGGTTTGCAGAGACACCTCTGTGCCCTGGGATTCCCTCATCCCACTCAGGAGCATGGCTCCAAAGAACTCGCTGCCACAGGCCAGGGCTGCTCGGTGCACTGAAAGAGGGAGAAGAAGCAGAGGGGTATCCAAAGTTTTGCAAACTGCAAGGCACTATCCCAACTTCACAGCCCCAACTTTGAACCAAGCACCCAAGGCCACAGGCCAAACTGTGGTGTGCATCAGAATACCATGAGGTGCTTGTTGAAATGAAGATTTCAGGAACCCACCCTTGGAGATGCTGATTCAGTATGTCAGAATGGAGTTCTTAGGATTTTATAATTTAACATTCTCAAGTATGCTGCATAACTCTCATGTTAGTGGCTTGAAGACACTTTGATAAAATTTCTTTAGTCTTTTTGATCAAGGTCAATTAGAAAAAGAGTCTAGTTGGGTCAAGTTGAGAAGATGCTATAGACTACATTTGCTAAAAGGGTACACAAAATAGACCCTGGCCAGGTAGCTCAATTGGTTAGAGCATCATCCCAATAAGCCAAGGGTGCAGGTTCAATCCTCCATCAGGGCACAAGCAAGAATTAACCAACAAATGCACAGGTGGGTAGAACAACATATTGATATTTCTCTCTCTCTCTTTTATGTCTCTCTCTCCCT